ATAAAAAACTGTATTAATATATTCTTATCTGACTTTCGTTTCAAATGGATGAATTACATATATTTGTTAACTAAAAAATAGTATAAAGTAGAGATTATAGAAACTGACATATCATAGTGAAAATATATGTATATAAAGACAACTTAACAAGTGTCTTATAATAACTAGCCCAGATATTTGCTTGAATGAAATGTATACTTGGTATACTTGGTAGTGCAGGCCCCTTTACCACTACCCTTAAAGTCATTAAAGGAAGGTTTAATGAGTGCTTCAGGGTGGATTATTTTTCCCCTCTAGGCTGCTGGATCAAATCAGATGAGTGTGTTGATTTTCTGTAATTGCACACATGTGGTACACAGCTTATCTACTTCCATAAATAATAATGTATATAAACAGAAATATTTGAGCATATGTTTAAAAATCACAAATATGTTTAAGTTATGTTAAGGCAATGATGCAATAAATACTTCTCAAAGCTTTTATCTGTATAAGCAATCTTAAAACCATTTTACATCCGCTTTCTTTTTCATGTTTATATGCTTAGGTCTGTTTGAGCTAGAAAACACAAAAGGTAAGTAATTCTTCTCTCCCTAATTCCACTCCAAAAATACTGATCCTGTTTTTGCTGACATTTATTGAATTCTAGAGGTTTTTTAGACCAGATAACTCACACAGCTTCAACCCTGCTCACCAGAAGCACATGATCCCTTTGGACCATAGTGCCATCTAGCTTCTCTTTTCCTGACCTCAGTAATTCCATGTGTGGAATACAGTTGAGTGATGAAGCAAAAGAATGGCCAGGGAGCAATCTTATTAGAATTGTCAAGTTAGATGGCTATTTATCTATACATACAGCTGAATTACAGGAGCCTGACAATAAACCCCTATTTGATAATCCAAAAGTGAGAAAAATGCAGGTATTTTCCTTTGGCAAAGGTCTTATTGCTTCCCTTCAAAATGTGAAAATCAAGATCCTTGCTGATGCTCTAAAAAGTTACCAATGCCTTTGGAAAAGCTCTGGCACCATACCAATACTAATACACACTTCACAGGACAGTAAAGACAATGTGGCTAAATCCTTGCACATTGTTTCCTACAGAAAAATCTCTGCTTTCAAAGGTGCAAAATTTGAAGAGACTTGGAACATTCCTTGAGATGCTAGAAAGGAAAAAGGCTAGAAAGAGTATCTTTCCCTTCACATGATGTGGTGGGAGGGCAATGGACTTCCTTGCACACACATGGAATCTGAGATCCATTTAAAGATGCCTGGGTTTCATTTGCCTTTGCAATATATGCAGGACCTAACTCTATGCAAGCATAAAACAAATCCAGTCCCTTTAAGGAGGGTATAACTTCAGAACAAGAGCTGCAGTGGTAGAATAGAAAAAGTCTTTTCCAGGTCTGGGACTGACTCCTATCCTTGGCAGTTTCTGATGGATTACACAAGATCCAATCTAGTTTGCCTAATCTTTCTCTCTAATTCACTGCTGTGCTCGTTACTAGCAGGAGGGATGGATAGATATTTCCTGCTGTGCCCCATGAGCATGGTTTGTTCCTCCAGTGGCACCATTACATGAACTTCTTACTACTGGAATGCCAAGTGTTTAATGCTGTTAATACCTAATAGGAAAACAGCTGAATCATCAAACATTAATTTCAGAATGAACATCCAGATAAAGATTTTCCATGAAAATCCTAATCAACCAAACTTCTTAAATTATCAGGGTATATTAAGGCCTTAATCCCTAAATAATTAACAAATTAACTGAGATTCCATTGAGATAACATAAACCATCCTAAGTCTGCAAAGAGATGAGGATAAATGGGCTACTGAATGTAAAGGTGGCACAAATGTGCAGCTCTTCGAGAGATGCAGGACTTGGGGCCTTTTGCAATGGTCTTGTATGAGGGAGAACAACTCAGACCCTTGGCTGGCCCCTGTAAAAGAGCAGCTGTAGCTCAGCTGCCTTCTTGTTCCCAAAGAGCTGACAGACACAGCTGTCTGCACAGTGACAGCTTCCACCAGCATCAGACACCCTTGTTTAACAGCTACAGATAGCCTTAGCATCACTGAATGTTTTTATGGACATTCCTGCCAAAAGCTTGTCCACAGACTATCTGAATACAATTATTTATACAATAGGTACCTATGCCAGCCCATGAATGGCTGGCACATAAGCAGCTTTGTACACTTCTGTTTGAAGCCAAATATTGATGTAAAAATATTACCAAATATTTATATGACAACTGTTCACCAACTTTGTTCCCAAAATCAATTAACAGAAAACAGTATTTCAATATAGTACTGTGTAAGTGATAAGAATAAGAAACAAAGGAACACTTCAGTATTTCTATAGGTATCTCATTTACAGATATAAACTTATATGGGCCATTCAACTCTGAGTTCATCACAATTGCTTTCAGATTACAGATAAGAATAACATATAATCACCTATTTTATTCACTAGGTTAACATAATATTTGTAGTGTTATATGGCACTAAATGAGATAATGGCTACAATACTCTTAGTTTTACATGTAGTGGGTTTTTACTCTGATATTTGCTCCACAAGTTACTTTCACACAGATTCCTCAATATGCTTTTCCTAGAATCTTTTTTACATTTGGGAAGAGATTGTTCATACATTTGTATACTTATGAGTCAATACTTTTTCTTTATAATTAAATTAAAATTGCCTCTGAAATCTAAAATAAATTAGGCCAACTGAATTAATAAAATTTGCATAAGTTATCAAATAATGACTTAATTTTTTTTCTCAGAGTTGTGCCCCACATTCTACAGAAATCAGATGTATGTTATCCTCTGGGAAGCCACGTTCTCTCTGCCACCCACAACCTTGTGGAGTCTTGTAAACATATGTCTTCCAGGAGTCCTGATCTCCAGATCAGCTTCTGGGCATTAGGGCTCACCAGCTCCTGGCACGACAGAGACCTTGGGAGGAGCAGCCAGAACACCCGGAGCACCACATGCTCTACTACAAAAGGGTATGGGCTCATCTACCACTCTGACACATGCTGCCAAACCAAAAAGATTTCTCTGAGCAGTAACTCAATTTTTAAAACATTCCTAAATTCCCAAACTCAGCCAAAGGGATGCTTGTGAAGGGATATGAAGTTCTGAAAAATTTTTTCTATCTCAAATGAAATAAAGCCATAGTTCAAAAGGCTATATATTTTGTAATTAAATACACATGTATGTACATGTAAGCACATCATTCTTGAATGTTAATAACTTATTAACAAAATATCTTCCCCTCAACAGTCTCAAAATGTATTTGTGTTTGGGCTGATACCAAGCATGGGACACTATCATCTCAGGGATTTTTTTTAGCATAGTATGACTACATTGCAGAAGGGACTATAATTATAATCTTGACATTACCATAACGACCGTGGTTGCTATCAGGTGACAGGTATTATATAGATAATCAGTAGACAGCAATATTTAATGATGCATGAGATAAAAGAAAATTAATTCATGCCTTTAATTCAGCTCAGAGCCATCATTTGTTAAATCTGCATGTGACTGTCCTAATCCTGTTCATATGTACATAACAGTTACATTAAATAACGAAGAGCTAAGCAAGGTATCTGCTGTGAAATTCAGAGAGCATATATTTACTCTTTATATACAATGAATAGTTTTTTATGTTTCTATTTACCTCTATTTTTAACACAATAGTTCTACTGCCTTGATTTAATTAGCATACAAAAAAAAAAAAAAGAAAAAAAAAGAAAAAGCTAGTAGCTGCTGTGAGATGTATAAAAAAAAGTCTTTGTTGAAATTAAATAGAAGCAGTAGTGAGGCTGGCTATTTTTTTCCCATGTTGCTACCTACTAACACTTTCATTTAATATGTCCTAGAGAAATAATGCCACAACCTGAGAAAAAGTAACCTAGAGTAAGGGGAGATGCTCTGCTGAATGAAAGAGAGACAATTATGCTCACTGCAGGAGCTAATATGGCTGAACATTTCAAATCCTGCAAGATTTTATCACTACCTTTATAAAACAGGATTAATTGAAAGAGATATTTTTGTGGAAAAGGACACTCCTGAAATGAAGCTATTCCAGTATGTGTAGATGGCCATTGGTGAAATGCAACAGAAGACAAAGGAGTAATACTCAAACATAGATATGAAGCAGCACTATTCACATATCTTCACAACATTTCTGGTTACTAATTCTGTTCAAACCTTGGTGCTCCTGTCTCCACAGCGACTACACTACTACAGCCATCTCACTGAACCTTAGAATGGAAGATGCAAAGTTTATTGAGAATTACAGGGACAGTGTCTAATGAAATCACATCAAACTCGGTGTCAGAGGTTCCAGGCTGAGAAGAAACTGGCTGTCTCAGCACTGTGGTAAACAGGGGCAAGGCAGACAAAGGGGTCAGAAGAAAACATGGAGGATATGGAACATACATGAAGCAAAGTTTACACAATGTTTTATAAAACTGACTATTTTTCAATTCATCATCTTTGTCTTTCAAGCTCTCCCTTTCACAGTTTTCCTCTGTTGCTAATGCTCACTTTGCTGCTTTGCAACTAACATTACACCTCCATCACATCATCAGCTTCAGAATAGATCAGGAGAGATGCAGCTCTTGCCTGAAGCATAGCTGCGTTTTTAATTCTGCCCTCAGACTGCCACACAGCAGGTGAAGACAGCCTGAACACAAGGCATCTTTGGTCTTAAGTGAAGCTTTTCAATAACAGCATTTCTGTTATTCTAGTTTTTCTTTTCAATAACAGAAATTTCTGTTCTTGCTCTGTGTGCCTTGGCTCTTGAACCACCAGAGCTGATTCTGTCCAGTAAGGATGAGATTCATTCTTCCTTCCTTTATGTTTCTTTCATAATTAATACTAATTATGCTTTTCATCAGCTGTCAATTCTAGAGCAGCAGGAAAACTTTGGAAGCAGGAGTGAATCTCACAGAAGTACAGAAAAAAGAGACATTTAAAGGATGCTGAAAAATTTTGGCAGAGGCACGTTTTTATTATTCATTATTTCAACCCATTGTCTTACAAGAGGATAAATTCAGCATGGTGAAGTCTAAGGTGCTACACAGCTCCCTTGATTGGCTTGAGCTCCCCTTCCAACTGGCAGTTTGCTTTCCTTCTGGACAACTCCCAAAAGCTTGGCTCTAAAATGATGACAAGCCTGATGTCTGGGGTTGCAGGTTAGACATCCTACAGTTTTCCCTGAACTCCAAACAGTTAACCTTCCTGGAGTGATTATTATGCCTCTTCAGAAACCCAAAGCTTCAGGCAAAAAAGCAGCCACAAATGTTTTTTTTTCTCGAGATTGTTTCCAATTCTTTATTTTCATGAATGTCCATCCAGACTCGGTGTAGGGCAGACTGCACAGGGACCCTGACCATATTAAACTCCTTGACAATAAACAGGCAAGGTGGCCCACGCTCTTCAAGCAGAGCCCTTTTTCTGTAAGGTTGTGTTTTCCACACCAGAAGAGATCTTTAGATCACCATGTATGGCAACAGATTGGTTTGAATACTTGCATAAATGTGCTTATTCTGTACTGATGTCACTTTTACGTTACTATGATTGAACCCTTGAGCCAAAAAGGTTTTTTCTCCAGCCTTCAAACTATTTTTGAAATTTTTTTATATTACCCTTTTTTTTACACAACCTTACTCAAATGCAAGTATCTGTACATATAGACAAAGAATTTGTCCACTGCTCTGCACAGTAAAAGCCCAACTTCAATACCTACTCACTCTAAATAGAAATTTAAGCATGTGGGATTTGTCTATCACTTCTTTAGTCTTAGTTTACAACTGTCTCCCAAAACTTACCCTGCTGAAGCAGTTGTGCCCTGATCAGCAGAATCAAGAACTTTTCCCTTAGTGAAGAAAATTACAGAAGATACTGAAGAAAGGGAAAGAGAAGGAAAGAAAATAGACTATTACCCTGGTAAAATGATGACAGTGCATGGGAAGGATTGACATAAAAGAGCAAAAAAAAGTAGCTTTCTTAGAAGTTAAACAGTCACGAGAAAAGCTATTTTCGCTGCCATTTGAGAAAGGGACTTCTGAATTTAAAGAATATTGCAATAATCTAGTTATGTGATTTAAGATTAAATAGAAAGCTAAAGTATATGTTGTCACTTTTTTCTTTAATGAAATGCTACACTTAAATGTCTTCATTTGAAAATAATCTGTATGTGGGTTTTTTTAAAAATAGCATCAACTTGGTAGTTAGAAAAAAAAAGGTTCACAATGTGCTTATGGCTGACTGAATCTGGAGGTTAGCTAAGATGTTATCTCTGCTTGTCAGTCCAACACTGAATGTAGTCTCCATAAGACTGCTTTTGCAATTCCTATCTTTTTGATTTTAGAGTTTAAAGAAAATTTGCTGGTGTATGGAATGCTTTGTTAAAGGAAGAAATTGAGAATACAAGTGCATGTTTTTATTTATTAAGAAAAACATAGAATTGTATCTCCTCACATAAAAAGAATCAAAGAATTTGAGATGGTTAATTTTATCATAATCCCAGGCCTCTTCTGGCTTTCAGATTTTTCTCTGTGCTGTTTCTCAGGATCAAACTGTTAGCACCCCTGTCCTGTCTTTTTCATCTCCCCTTGTCATAATTCCCCAGCTTCACCTTGCTGCCTGTACTTTCTTACACTCCTATTTTAAGGACAATGATTGCCCAGTTCTGGCAGAGACTCATATTGCTGTAGCTACCTAATATCACAAAGCAGCTCTACAGCTTTTTAAAACTATTTTGAATTAAGGGTGAATTCAAAAGATTGAATCCAAACTCTAACTTCAGGAACACCCTCTACAAGCAATTTTCACTAATAAACCATGCCTCAGGGCATTATTTTGAGGCATCACAATTTTACTTTCAAAAAGCAGGTCCCACATGTACTTCTGCATGGGCAATTCACAAACCGAGTGGCAGATTTATTCGGGCCATAATATGCCAAATAGCACTTTTCAAGCACATCAGTGCAGCTGACCACAATTCATGCAGTCTGTTACTAACTCCTACCTGCTCTTGTTTCCAGAAGCCCTCAGAAAGTAGCAAAGTAATAGGCAACTATTGCACGTGAACTTCATGGCTGATCTGCACTACTGTATCACTACTGCATCATAAATTCAACGCTTTAATGAGCTCTCACCTCCCATCTAAAGCACATGAAGCCAGCTAATACATGTCACTGCCAGTCAATCCAGGAAGGGCAGCTTCAGGCCATGCTCAGACAACTTGCTTGGCACAACACCAGAGGAAAGGAGCAACTCAGTTCAAGCAAACCTCATTTGAATTGCTGACAGGATTTTCTATCATCTTCATTTACACCTCTTGAAAGGGTGTTTGGTAGAGACATTTTAAAGGACAATTGGCAACATATCCCTTATGTCTGTAAATTAGTTGTTTGAGCATGACAGAAATTCACATTGAAGAAAAGTCACCATTAAACGAGCAGAGGACACATAAATCATCTGTAAATTAAAGCATAGAATGACAAAAATTGAGAATGAAATCCAGTTCCTTAACCAAGAAGCAGCACCACAGAGCCAGAAGAACTTGAGCCAAGCCGAGCTTCCGTTGCAATTTACCATGGAGTATTTACAATGTGGAAATACAAAAATTATGGCTGTAGAACAAGGCATACAGGACTTTTCAGAGCATTAATTTCTCAGAGAAACTGATCTTGAGACAAATACTCTTTCTTAATTACTTTAAATTCATTCTTTTTTCTGCGTAATGTTATTTAGGTCACCTGAGTATATTAAAACAGTCAAAGATTTACAGTCAGATGTAATTACATCAAACTTTCCAAGGGATTTCCAGTTGTTTTCTGGAATTGATGCATAGCATAAGGATAGCTTTCTAGAGTTTTGTACATCATAGCATTTTTATACATGTTTGCATTTTAAACGTAGTCTATATAAAATACAGGCATTTCAGATTTAACTTGCATGCTATTTTACAAGGGAAGAAGCCCAGAAGTTCCAGTTATCTGATGGTTTGGACATTGAATTTGGAAACATGTTATTGCTTTAATTTCAGACTAACGTGTTCCACAGCCAAAAACAGGGGAGAGGCATTGTCTAATTTTTTACTTTAGAGTTTGATTTTTTTGCTTATGGGCCTAGTAATGAGCTTTACCAAGTTTCTTGAGTTCCTTTAGCCATAGTGGGAGATGCAAAATGCATTCTTCTGTGGGTTCCAACCTAAGGATTATTTTGTAGTTGAACAGGGTCTTATCCCTGGGTGGCCCTTGGTTGAACTTTATTTTGGAAGTGAACCAGCATATTTTTCAGTATTGGGACAGATGAGGTTGAAGCAGTTTTCCTTCTCCATTTGCTACACAAAGACAGCTAAAGCACAGCCACTGCGATTAGGATGAGATATTACAACAGGGATATAGTGGCTCCTTCACTCTCCAAGATATGTGCACAGTGTTAATAAAATAAATCTTGCATATCTTATATGTTCAGTATTTCCTTGCTGGTCCTCCACATCTTTCTGGTGCCATCACTCAGAGGAACACTGTCTCCAGTATGAAGGAAGAAGGTTTCTGTACAATTCAGACTCAAGAAAACTTATTTTACTTTACCACAGGTGTTTGCAAGTGGCTAAAGCTGTTTTCAAGATGTTAATACAATTTCTGGATGTCAATTAAAAAAAAAATTCCTTTTGAGGCCTTCATTCTTTGTGTTTTTAAATCCTGACCTTAACAAGTATCTCTTTTGTGATTATGGAGGGTTTTTTTATGCCAGAAAACAAAATATTGGTATGGGACTTTTAGATACATCATTCTATCACAGATACCAAACAGGTCTTAGTCTTGGGAAAAAACATTAAATTATTCCCTTTATCTCAAAGCATTGTCTGTGGAAACTCAAACTCCAGTAGGTAAAGCAAGCGTGTGGTGCATTATAAAATAATGCCAAAGGGCCGTTAATATTATTACCTATCATGTGTGTCTTTTCCTTGTTATTATCCCATCTTAAACTATCCTCATGAGAGCTCCAAGTTTGTGTCACCCAATGAAACACACTCTTGTTTGACAAAGTTTCCTATGTTCCCATGGGTCCATTCTTCTCGAGACAGCACAACTTAGGTGATACTGCTTGTGGATGCCCACGGATTCAGAAAACAGCTACCTTCTTGCAGACGTTTGTGCCAGAAGGCAAACACAGCACTAAGTATCATCACCATGAGAACAACAGCAACAGTGTTGGAAAAGAGGAAGGAGGAAGTCAAGCAACAGAGAAGGAAATAGAAGGATTTTAAGACCATTCCTGGAAGGAATGGGCCTGCAGCACTCACCACCACAGTTTCAGTGCGAGGAGCTATTTCCTTTCCAAATGCCAGACAGAATCTGTTACCGTGTATCTAGAAGAGGCTGTGAAATCATACTTCTGCAATAATATATTTAAGAGAAATACAACAAACTGGTAACTGAACAGGTGACAAGGTTAGATGGACACTACCAGCCTTCATATTGCATTGCATTTTATCGCGTGGCCATGGGCAGAGACTTTTGTTAAAACAGGCCTTAAAAAGCTTTCAAACCAGATCACCACAAAGGTGCATATGTTTTTGTTTTTAACAGTTTCCACAGACAGCATCGTCCGGAAGTTTGCCAGAGAAAGCTGAAGGAGGGTCTTGGATGGAGCACAGAGATGCTGGGGAAAGGAAGCAGCTCCCGGTGCCTGCGTGTGTGTGTAATGAGACACCTGCCAGTCCTTCACAAACGAACCTTGTGTTCAGGGAGCTCACTTCAAAGATCTACTTTAAATGCTGAAAGAATTACATCGATTTTATAAAAACAAACTTGCATATGTCTCAGAAAGAGCTGTCTAGGTGCCTGTCATACAGAAATCTTTAGAGCATAACAACAGTTACGTGCGTTGCCATATTTACCGGTTATCCCAGATTCCTAAAAGCACTGCTGTGGCTGGAGTCCTGGCCGGCTCCCGGGGGCGGACAGCAGCCGTGTGGGAGCGGGGCTGAGGGGGCGGGCGGGAGATCCCGCCCCAGTGTCCGTCACAGTGCCTCGGGAAAGCACCCGGCGCTGCCGGGCCGTATGGCAGAAGAGGGAGCGGGCAAGAAGTGCGTGGGGTCACGAAGGAGCAGCAGGACAGGAAGAAACGCTACCGGGACGGGCGCCGGGACGGCTCGGCCGCCCGACGGGCGGTGGCCGCCGGCGGGGCTGTTGGAGCGGCCTGAGGGGTCCCGGCGCCGCCCCGGGCCCTCAGCGCGGCGCGGCCGCGGCGCTGGCGCCGCTCCCCGTGCCCCGGCGCCGCGGCAGCTGCGGGCAGGGCGGGGCGCCGGCGGGGCCCGCGGCGGAGGCCGCGGGGCGCGGGGCGGCGGCCGGGCCCTCGCCGCGGGGCAGGACAGAACGGGCCGCCCGGCGGAACTCCTCGCTGCGCCACGTGTAGAGCAGCGGGTTGAGAGCCGAGAGCGAGCAGAGCAGCAGCCAGCTGGCGGCCTGCAGCGCCGGCGGCGCCGGGCGCAGGAAGAAGCTCAGGAGGCTCACCCAGACCAGGGGCTGGGTGCCCAGCAGGAACACGCAGCAGAGCAGCAGGACGGAGACGCTGCTGAGGCGGCGCTGGGCGCGGCGAGGCGGCGGCGGCGCGGCGGGGAAGGGCAGCTGGTGCAGCAGGTGGAAGTTGAGGACGCTGACCCGCTTGGCGCTGCCCCGCACCCGCCGCACGATGCCGAGGTAGCAGTGGAGCAGCAGCGCGGTCTGGCCCAGCACGGCCAGGGCGAGGAGCAGGGCGGTGTAGCGAGAGCTGCCGTCCGACTGGGCCGAGCCCAGGGTCCAGAGCCCGGGCAGCAGCGGGACCGGGAGCAGGGCGAGGGCCCAGGAGAGCCCGATCATGCAGCCCGTGTGTCTCCGCTGGTAGAGGGCCTGGTACACGCTGGGCAGCTTGGTGATGAGCACGTACCTGTTGAAAGCCACCAGCAGGTGCGAGGCCAGGGAGACGGTGAGGCCGAGGCCCAGGAGCCCCCCTCGGAGCAGCCGGTACTCCGCCGAGCGAAGGGAGGAGGAATTCGGGGGCAGCAGCCCCAGCACAGCCTCCTGGGGCATCCACAGGGCGCACACGCTCAGGTCTGCCGCACAGCCGTTCACGATGAAGGCATTGCTGGTTGTCTGCAGCTTCTTGAAGGAGAAGACTAAATAGATGACCATCACATTGGATAAAGTCCCTGAGATAGCTAAGACTGCGTAGAGCAGCGACAGAAAGATGCGGGTCCCGGAGGAGTCCTCCCAGAGCAGCAGCAGAGGCGAGCTAGCACTCCAGGAAGAGGCGTTGGGCATCTCGCTGAATGCAGCTCAGTTTTGACTTTGCCCTGTAAATCCCATCCTTGTCTGGGTCAGAAGTTCTGCTGCAGGAGTCCTCACCAAGAACACGGGAGGCTATGCAGCTGAAGGACTCTAAGGCAGGTTTCAGTCATACAAGCTGTAAGGTCCAGAAAATGCCGTTTGCAGTAAGGATCCAAAAACCAGCAGTGTCCAAGGCAGTTAGGCAGCAAGAGTCCACAGATTGTAGCTGGTTGAGGTGGGTCCATAGGGAGGCAAATGGCTGTTGGCAGACCAGAGCACGACTGAGGTTTCTGTAGCTGTGAAAACAGCAAAAGCAGCAGCACCTTGCAATCGGCAGCAGAAACGGCAGCAACTGATACAAAGCTTTGCAGTTTCTCCTGTGCCACAGTACGTACACTGTATATCATTTCAGGAAGATTCAGCCCTTCCACTCTTCATGAATTATTCAGCAGATTTTCAACTTGTTAAATCAAGAAGGGAAAAAAAAAAAAAAAAAAGCCAAACCCTATCATGCTCCAGAAACACTCCAACTACACAGTCTGACTCTTTTCTCCCTGCCCTACCAGTCTTCTGGGTCTTGCCCATTTACACAACATTCATTTGAAGCAAGGTTTTAAACCTTATCAGTCACTTCTGTCTGAAATACAGTGTGTAAAAATTCTTCTGCTCAATACTCAGTTTTTAACAGATTTTTTTTCTGATCTTATTTTTGTTAAGAGTAAGCTCAGTATGCTTCTGCAGTTTTAGTTAATTTTAGAACTGGTCTGTAATAACAATATACTTTCCAAAAGAAATCTTTCAAACACAATAAATAAACCAGTCCTGGTAAGACAGTACTTATTTGAGAAAGCTGGTTCTCAATCTGAACATTTTACATCTCTTCATAAACCCCAGCCTGTCTCAGCTCACAGGAAATCCTACATTGCCACCCTGCCAGAGGTGAACACTGGTGTTGGTGAGCACACAGATAACACAGCATCTGTGTAATACTTGAAATGGTTCCTGGAGAGGTGAATAACAGCTCCTGAGGTGGACTAAAAACTGATTGAAAGAGTAGGCATTAACAGTCCATTCCCAGATGGAGAATAATTAGTCATGGGATTCTCCCAGGAACTCTACCCTGCTTTATTCAAACAGGGACAAAATGGTAACTGTCCTTAACCTGGACAAGACTTAATAAAAAACTCAGTAAGAGAACTTACATTTACTTTGAAAAGCTTTTCAGATATGGAATGCTGGTTAGTTTTGTGATGAGCTTAAGAAAAAAGCTGCTTTTGCATGTAGGTTAGGTGTAAGCTACAAAAGCAAGCAATTACAGCTTGTAAGGTATTATCTGTACCAGAGACCTTCATGAGGCATTTTTAGATATTAAAGTCCTGATGCTAACAAATAGCAATACCAAAATAATGTATTAAGAGGTAGTTATAGTTGCAATATATATTTTTTCAAGTTAAAAAAGTTAAATTGTGTGGGTTAATGGATGTTGCAATACAGCATATCTTTTGATAAAAGAGGCTCATGTTAACAATTGACAGAAATATTGATCCAAAGGTGGATTTGTTACAAACATGAATATCTATGTTCACTTTTAATTAACTGGATGGCTCATGTGCTTAAGGTTAAAGACCTACCTCAGTGATTTACTTGATCAGGCCCTTAATTACCATATTTTTTGCCTGCTGCACTTTACAGTGTAGATCTAATCAAGTGTCAAACCTTTTGAGGCCTTTCATTGTTTAGTTGTCAGTAAAGAACAGTTATTATAGAAAGTAAAATCCTCCCCTTTCTGCAGTACTGTAATTGAAAATTAGTCTCTGAATTTGTAACAAGTAATACCTCCCTAACTGAAAAGCTTCATAAAGCATACTTTAAAAAGAGATTATGATGATTAACTGTTTCATAAGATGTTAGCCACAGAATATTATGCCCAGTAAGAGACATTTAGACTTATTTAATCAATCCATTCATGTTTAGAGATCTTGTGGACTACAACTTGTTCTCCCACAACCACATATATTTATATTTGAAAGAACAAAAATGGTAAAGTTCAAGGCCAAGTGAACACAGGATATAAAATAAATTTCAGGCTATTTCTTACAAGCTATGAGGTTCTAAAAGTCCTTCCTGACCTTTCACTGTTTCAAATTTTTTATTGTTGTTAACAAGTTGATTGTTGCAGAATACTGACTTATTTATGAATTTTAAAAAGTTCTATATAAGCTGGTATTTATCTAAATCAATAAAAGCCTAGAAAAAGGCTAAGGGAGAGCTTGATTCCTATTTACTAGAAACCTTTTAATTAGCTGTTCGTCCTGTATCTTATTTACTCTGCACATCCAAATCACCATCCATTATTCATACAAATGCAGAGGCAGAAGCCTTTTGTTGTTTTTTAGCTCAGACTGTCACCAGAATTTGGGCAACTTGGAAAGCATCCACTCTATTCCCAGCTTTCCCATTCCTTTAGAGTGGTTGTGTAACAGTTACACACTGTCCACATCTATTGCAAGAGAGGCTAACAGGCTAATAGAGAAGTAATCACGTAATGCAACGAATTTGCTGAAAACCAGCAAGAGGGTTAAACCATTTGTGATTAGTTTTAAATTGAAGGAAAGATAAAAAGCTAAAGAAAGCTAAATTGTTTAGGTTCTTATGGACGAAGAACCTGCTGTTGGTGGGACTAAGAGACCTGTTGCACATGCAAAAAAGTCAAGGTATATTACACCTGTAACAAGGGACTTCCCCCAGGAAGGATTCCTCAGTTCAGACACAGCTTTTAAATCACTGTATTTTGAAATATAATGCCATCATCATCACATCAACATGTTGATTAAATACCTGGCATTATACAAAGCAAATACAAGAAGGTTCAGAGAGATTGTTTAAAAAGTTATCTATCTTGCTAATGGCCTTTTCCAATGTTATCCTACTTTTAAGTACATTACATGGTTTAGAGGAAAGAAGGTGATTTTGAAAAGTTATCTTCAATTAGAGATCGAATCATCAAAATATCTACCAAAAAAACCAAGAAACAAGGAAGCTGGCTTATACAGGCATTTTATTATCAATTAGCTGTATATATATATATCTACATTTCAAAATTAATTAATCAGCATTTTATTAAGAAAAACTATTTATAACAAAGTAAATGAGAAAATTCTTTATGAGAGGTAGAATTACCTTATTAATCTATAGTACATATACAGTGTATTGTATATAGATACACATATGCTACTTTGTGTGTATATATTACATATACACAGTTGCAAAAATTTACAGTATTGCATGTAAATTTTATTTAGTGATTTTGATTTTTATAGCTGCTCTCAGTATTGCTATTGAACACTTTCAGTACAATTTTCCATAGCAATTTGTGATCTCATCTTTTAAAAAATGATGTAGCACTTAACTTCTGTTGTAAAGCAAATGCAGGGTCTTCAGGAACAAAGACTGACAATTCAACTAAGTTTTATTTTCAAGTTTCTGCACATATTTTGAAAAAGAAACAGGTAACAAATCTGTTTTGTTTCTGTCTTGTACATGAGGGGCAAATAAAGTCCTCACAGTTGCTTATATTCTTTTCCTTACCATGCATTTGTGAGTTCTGAAAAATTTACACATGATCCTGTACCTCCCTGTAACACCATTTCAGCCTAAGCCTCATTCCTAATCACATCTGACTGACCTGTACATTCCACAGAGTAAAGAGCATCTTTACTATAACAAAACCCTTCCATGATACAGGAGGCTACCTCAGCCATATGCTTACAACAAACATAAAGTTTATGAAGCATCCAATTGATAGATAAAAATTTAATATATGTCCAACACATACTGTGTGTTGGCAAGGAAATTGTACACATACTGCCAAATGTAGGTTAAAAGCATGCGAGTATGCATTGCTACCTAATTCATTGTACATTTCTACCAACTTCAGTTTGGTCTGCCTTCATTTTTTGCAGCATATATTGCATAGCAAAAGTTAACACTCTACATTGAAAACAAAACATAAGAAATTGAAAGAGTGTTAATTGTACAATTGAGTAATCACATAAATTACTTCTTTGTTGCAGTAGAAGATGTAATTACATCACATCTCAACAAATATTTTCCCTTTCTTTTTCTTTCATTGTGTTTCCTTAAGAAACGGTAGCAGCCAGAAGTGGAAAGCAGACTATGGATCAAGTGCTTTTAGTTGACATTGTAATAACAAATCTCTCACTAGTTAAGACTTTCATCAAATTACCAGAAGACCAATTAGTAAAAAAGTAAATTACAATAGGCTCTAAGGAATAATGATGGACGCATAAAACAAGAAAAATCTCTTGTTCATAAAAAAAATTACATCTTTGATAAACATGTACAAATTCTTTAAAATACACACTTTTGTAGCAAAGTAGACCCTAAATTAAAATATACTCTAGTTTTTACATAACTTTTATATATAGTTTACCAAAATATTCTCTTAATACATATTTTAACACTGTACACAAGTTAATAAATGTCTTAATGAAACTCATTAGAAATATATTCAACTGTCTCAACATAAAAAATTTAAATTTGTATACAACATGGGGTAGTAATTTCCATAAATTCAACTTCAGTGCATCTGCAGTAGTCATTAACAATAATTTTCTGCCTGTTAAGAAGTCTCCTCTTGGTGTTCAGGAATTAATGTATCTTGTATTGAAGGTTCCTCCTTTCAATGAGCAGCTTCTTCTCTTCAGATCTTCTCCATCATGAAGGACATTGATTTGAAGAGCTCAGCAGGTTTCACCAAAGCAGCAAGGCTTTAGTACTGAACATACTCAGACTGAAGGGACTGTGCAGAGAAGAAAAACTGATTAAAACTCACTGGAGAGGTTTTATTTATATGTAACATATATTTTTCCCTTAAAGAGTAGAGGAAGGGCAGAAAGGAGAAAAATAAACAAACAGAGTTGGGAGGGACCTGAATCTCTACACAGGTAAAGATTAATAAAATAGAAGAAATTAAAATCTGATTAAAATGCATCAACTTTGCTGTATCTACACTTACTTTTCCAAACCAGTTTCTTGAGATTCTAAATTAAAGTGTTGCAAGTCCTTTAAAATACCACTGCTACTGTAATTGAATTGTTTCCACTTATTCTGAATGAGAATCCAACTGCTACCGTAAAAGTCAGCTTACTTTAGATGTTGATCCAGATAATGATATAGAAAACACATACTGTAGTTCATTATTGAGGAAAAAAACTACATCAGTAATTACACAGATGGATAAATTTTTGTATGACTACCAAAACCAGATGAAAATGAAGCACTGCAAATAGTTCATCTGGATTAGTAACAAGTCTGTATAATTAAGAGAAAAATCAGAACCAGCTTTATTGTATGTATTTACATTTCAGTTTCTACTGAAGTCTAAATTTTTAATAAAACTGATTAATCAGCTTATACAGTATCCAATCATTTTACTAGCTCCTATACAGATGTGATTAAGAAGTCATTCTGATGAATATAAATCTTGTACAGTGATGAGCTGTCCCAGAGGAGTGTGGTTATAAATAAAGAGCAAGTAAAACCAGCAAAGGTATTTTAAAACTGCATCAATTCTTCAGAATTAGAGCGAACTACTGGAGACCAACATGACTCCTAAGACAGACTGGACTCTCACAATCTTCTCTTCTATTTTCCTACTATTCCTAACTAGTCATTACAGAAAATGCTCTTTGGCACCCATATTAAAACCTGTCAGTACTAGTGCATAATACATTTATATATATCTTTATAGCTCTATATCTGTATATCGCTATTGCTATAGCTAATGTAACACAACTATTTTCCCCCTATATTTTAAGTCTCAGTTTATATTTTCAAAGTTGTCTTTTAAATGCATTTTCCCATCTCAAGATTTGAGACCATCTGGATATTCTATCCTAGGTAGAAAAAGTGCTGTCACATATAGATTTGAATACTATTGACTAAAAAAGGTCTGGTTTTAGTAAGAGCAAAGCAGAAGGAATAGGCCTTCATTAATGAGCACTTGAAATTTCTCTCTTAATGATCCTCAAAGGCTTCTCATTTTCAGAAGTGCATTTTAACAACTGGAAAGATGGTTAATTAGTGCAATATTTGAAATGGATCCATCAAAACTGAATCCCAAACAAAGGTGATTAATAAACATTTTAAAAAGGCAGGACGTGTAGTTATATACTCTCATATGTTGTACAGCAATAGATTACTTTAAGCTTGGACAGATGAAAGATGACCAGAAAGCACTTTACACTCTTAAAACCAGCAAGTGTTAGTTACGAAGAACTGAAAACACCAGCCCTTCACTCAGCAGACAGCAGTAACCAGGAATTCTACATCATGATTTCAATGAAAGAAGCAAACCATAAATTAAAGATTCTGAAGTTTAAACTGTAATTCATAAAATTGTTAGCAATCCAAGTTTACAAAAAATAAGGGGAAAAAAAAAACCCACATAAAAAATCCCCAAGTATCCAGCAGCATATATTGTTTGGAAACAGGATAGCATGTTTTGGTAATTTTCCTTACAGATTGGTAGGCACAATTTATTTACTTTCAAATGGAGAAATATGTTTCTCAGTGTGTTCCCACCCTCATCATATCTCTACTTCACATCCCCATGATTTTTTCCTAATGTTCAAAGTCTTTTCTGAATACAGGGAAATAATTAAATCTAAACAGCATTTTTTTCAGATTAATCTGTGTGACTTCACATAAATTTCTATCACTAGAAACATGGTGATACCTGTAACAACTGAGCTACTGCAAAGTATACAGACTCGCATTTGAGTTTGAAAAATTTAAATATAGCAGAAGAGGCTTGCTGCTTTGATTTTTTTTGTGTTTTCAGAGCAGTCATTTGTTCTCAAATCTCTTCACATGTCTGAAGAGATTGACTGTAAAGTTTCAAAGCCTGTAATTGTAGTTTTTTCAGTTTTTCTTTTAAATCTTTTGAGGAGTTTTCTATTTAAAAATTTACATTTGCCATGACTCAAAGTATGGCCTATGCTGAAAAGCTTTATTAGAAACAAAAAAACCCAATCCATTTTCACATGTATTTTTCTGGATTTAACAAAATATTATTTAAAATTGAGTTAAAAATCAAAAAAAAAAAAAAAAAAAAAGGAAAGAAAATTGACTGCTGAATTGCCAAGATGAGAGTATAAAATCAGTTAATGGAGAAGAAATCTCAATGTGTATTCCTACAGTGATCCCATGCCATGTCAAGCTTGCCATTTTACACCCAAGTAGCAGACATCTAAACAAAGAACTTAGATAGTTTCACTATAGCTAAGGATACCTAATGAAGTTTATGCTGAAATAACTGCTTAAATGACTTCCATTTTTCTTCTTCAAGAGGAGGCACAGAAAGCCTTCTGAGAAAGAAAATCAGGTCCAAATCCACTGAGGCACCAGAATTTTGTTTGCTGACATGTGACTGCAGGACCAAACCAGCCTGAATTGAACTCTGTTTCAGGACAGAATAACCCTACAGCATTTAAACCTATTTGTTAGGATTTGAACATGCCCTTTCCCACAGATAATTGCAAGAATGTAACTTAAGTTTTAGATTTGTGCATCAACTCTCCCAAAACACTGTTGCAATAGGAGTGTTGCTGCAGGCAAGAACCACTGGGAATACACAAGAGCCACTAAAGTGACTCAGGATGCATTAGGGAAAATGTACACACATGAAGTCTGTGGGTCTGCACAATTTTACACATAGCAGGATGCACTAGTGTTTGGTTTTTGCAAAGCCTGTCCTATCTTCATTAATGGTAAGTTCTAATTAAGAAAAACCATGCTACAGGTAAAGATGATGTATATGAATTTTAAAACACTGCCAACACATCTCAATTTTTTGGCAATGTTTCCATCTTGCCAGTTTCCATGACAGCTATAGAAGCAAAAGGTGACTCATCTTAAGACTACCCAGTTACATATTCTCCAATAAAAATACATTTTAAAGAGCCATATTTTGATTTAGAATTATTGTAGGAACAAAGCAAAAATCTTATAGCAGTACCTTAAGTGTGATTACAGTTGAAGAGAGTAATTCTGCAAATGTTATTGTGAGAGATTCTGTTTAATCAAAACACACACTTTGTAAAATAAAATATTTATTCTCTTTGACTGGAACAGCAAGTTTGTTTTTTTTTTTTTTCTTTGAAAAATCAAGTTTTTCTTCTAGTTCATCAGCATAAACACAATAAAGTGGATTATAAGCTTGCAGTGATGAAGGACAAAAACCATTAGAGAAAAATACATGTCTGACAACAATAGTTACAGTCATGGTTATTTTTTTGTCTTTCTTTTTGTTAAGTGGAATGTGGAACGGTGGTATTAATGCTGTTTCACTGCAAAACATTGGGAAAAAAAATCAGTGAATAACCTTCTCTTCCATACTGCAGGAAAAACTCACTAAGGACTTTAGTGAACATAAACTAGAACTGAAAAATTGCTGTCCTAACCATCTCAAAATGCTCCTGAACCACTCGTGTTAACAAAGATAGATAAGAGTGATAAGGTGATTTTCTAAAATAAAAGTACTGCATGATTACAGCTGGTTAGCTTGATATCTAACTCAAGGAGGTGAGATTTTGCCAATTAAGAGAAAGGGAATTAATCAGTATAATTCAAGATTTTGATGAGCTAAATGAATAAACAAAGCACCAGGACATGTAATAGACTTCTGTCAGGTACATCACCTGATGTGCTCCAATTAGAAAGAACACAAACACTGCAACAAGCCTAGGCTGGGCTGTCATGAATTCAAGTAATTTCAGCATCTAAAGCAGTGAAGTGGAATGATTAAACAGAATTTTGTTTTTAAAAGAATTGTGCCATAACTGGTAGCTTGATATTACTTCATATTTTGCTGATGAGCTTCAGACCACTGTAAGTGCCACCAAAAGCAAAACAGCTGCATGGCAGGGGCTGAAGTGGTAAGGAAAAACCAATCTTCCTTGATGGGTTAATTGGTCCCAGAAGAAGAGGGGAGGGGAAGGAGGAAAAAAAAAACCCCAACCAACCAACTAAAAATAAAAAAGATTATGCTTTTCCACAGGGTTCCACATGAAAAAAAAAAATCCCAAATCAAACCAAAAATTCCTCCAGGAACTCAGGACATAGTACTCAAATAAAAGAAACAGAAGAAGTCACTATCATCAATGGCAACAACTCTTTTTTTCCTCCCCCCCAGCCCTCAGCTGCCAGTACATTACAGTAAAAAAAAAAATAAAAGAATCTATAAGCAGGATAGCACTGCGTAGCAGAATTCTGGATCAGAATGATTATAAAAAAAAAAAAAATTGGAACCCTTTCCGAAAGGATTTTTGAGCTAAGTTAGTTTATCAAAAGAAAATCAAGTTGAGATGAGTAGCATGAGATAACTCCACAACATGAAAATAAGACAACAAAGGGCTATAACACTGACATAATACAGAGATACAGAAAGTTTCAGGTTAAAAGTGAAATAGTTTTAAGCATGACTCTGTTCAATCAGTGGGACTGATCTTTCAGAAAAATTTTGTTGCCCTCAAAATAAACTACCTGTATATTTGCCAGAGAGCTGCTCACTACCAGACAGAAAGCATTCAGAGATTAAATGATTGAAAAACCTACTCTTGTCTTAAACCTCAAGATGTCACAGGGACTGCACTCAGTCAATTGTGCATAAAACGGGTAACAATTCAGTGCACTCCTCTGTGACTGGGAGGGATGCACAGGACTACAGGGCACATTTAGAAGCAAATGCATTAATCAGAACATATCTGAAAAACATTCCAAACAGGAACACTTTTCAGCCATTATTATATTGAAAGAATATTACTTCACAGGTAAATCAGAAACTTGCACTTTGCTATGTAGACTTTGCATGGCATGACTCTTTCTAAGAAATGCTGCTTCTCACATCACAGCATAGAATACATTAGAGTATTTTCAGCTCACCTCATTCTTCAGAGAAGACTGGAGAAAGAATTTTAAAGGTCTTGCTGCATTGGACTGTGTATAACCTCTACTCCACAAAAGCAAGCAATATCAAGCCAAGAATTATTCAAAAGTTACATCCTTTATATCCCTTATAGCCTTCCATGCATTATTAAGTTATTAAGATAGGTAGGAAGAAAATTAAAGATGTTCTTATAGCAGAAGAATAGTGCATTTTTGAAAGGTTTTTTTTTCACATTAAAAATGCTTTCCATTCAACCTAAAACTATGCACTATGCCTAAGATATTTCATTTAAATTAATGCTTTAAGTCACTTAATAGTTCTACTGCAAAGAAACAACAATTAATTTCCTTCTTCACTGCAATGCAGAGAGCTGTGAGCACCTCTCTCCTGTTGACATGGCTATTTCACCTGTTCATGAATTGCTCCTTTCTTCTTCCTTAAACTACACAGTAACTAATATTTATTGGTTTTCTCCCTTTTCCTAAGTCATCCTTATCTAACAAAGAAAGGCATGCTACAATTCTTGAAGTTACATTGTAAACCACCCCCTCTCCCCACATATATTTGGGGAATTTTTGTGTCAATGTCAACTATGTTGCACCTCGAGGGTTTATATGATTAAGGAACACAGCACTATCCTACAATTTTGTAACTATCTAGACATAAAAGAAACCTGAAGTGTCATCAATGCTTAATTTTCTGTCCTATGCTTATGGAACAAACCCACTAACTTGGCTTTCACTGTAAAATATCATTTGTAGCATTAAGGTACAGCAACCACCTCTCCAAAGGAGGTGATAGTTAGCGTTTAAGATGTTATATTTACATACAACCTTTAAAGCTGCTTAAGGAAAACAGACTTACTGTTTCTGTAATGCTTTACATTATCATTTGGTACTCTTGTAAATTCTGGCCTATTGTGAATGATGTCAGCTTATTTTCATGACTAAGTCATATTGCAGTTACAAGGATTTCTTCCCCTTAGGATGCTGCATGTAAGTTTACATGAAAATACTTTATGCATAATATATAGCTGTAAGTAAAATATGAAAAAAACCAAACCCTCTAAAAATGCTGCTGGCAGTATATAATTTACAAAAGAAACAACTGAAAAGAATGGGAATGGCCTGACTTGCCAAAGAATTATTGTTCAATACATTAAATATGAGACAGCATGGAAAGTGAGACATTAAAAAAAATAAAATCGGCCAATTTACCACTTATTATTCAGATGAGTGATTGCTCTCACCCTCTGGTGATATACTGACTTTTAGTTCCAGTAGAATCAACAAGAGCAGAGGACTGAACTCCTGAGGACTGAAATTCTGTAAGCATGTTGGATTGAAGACTGGGAGCACCTAAAAAGGATGACTTTCCAGAGCAATCAGAATGCATGAACAAATGAAAGACTCATCAATGTATCTCAAACAAACATTCCTAGCTTGCTATACAGGTTTTCACCTCTCTCTCCATCTCTATGCCTGAAGAAATTAAACCAAATTAGGTCAAGAACAGTCCTCTTGTTCTAGAGCTTGTTTCATCATAGAAAAATTGTTATGGTTTCTGTACCTTACTTGAAAAATCTCAATTATATATAGTTTATTACAATCCCATGTAGTAGGGAAAAACAGAATCAAATTAAAGAGGTGAAGATGTGACAACATTCAAGAACTCCCTTGCAAACAAGTTACTGCTGCTGTTTAAGGTTTAAACTCAATTTTAAACCCAGTGCAGCACAGTGATTCTAAGATCATGGAATATCAGCATTTATTTCCAGATAAATTGTAGTGGATAAGAAGCTACAATTTGTTTTTTAAACAAGGAGTCTGAAAGCATCAAGTATTCTGAAGAGCTGCATTAGTCAAGCAGATTCTACCACAGTAGGAAGAACCCACCGAGTTAGAGAATACAGAATCACATTCCCTCAACTAATTTCAATGTTCTGTTTATACAGATTACATTTCAGTCACACATGTAATTTAATTCCACAATGGAACAATTTTATTTCCTACTGTCATCTATCCTCAGAAATAGCAATTCACACTCCCAAGCTACAGAGATGTGGCTTCTGAACTGTTGAGTGGTGCCACATCTGAGCTGTTAACAAGAGGGTAGGTCTTCCACTTCTGCAGGAAGAAAAGAACATAGCCTATGAATGACTTTTGGCTGGACATCCTAGTTACATGCAATGCATATTATTAGCTGTTTTAAGACATACTCTCCACACCCAAAACCACTAGCAGGTATAACCAGAACTTACTTTATACTAAATATTTTATCAGTGCTAAGGAAACAGAAGAGTGATGTGCAATATTCTGAAGTCCATTTTATATCCACCCAGTAAAATAAATAAAAATCCTAAGTGTCAGAACTAGTTGAGAGAGGCTGACAGGCTCCTTTACTCATAGGCAAAATCTATTAAAAACAGTGTACTATTTTTTTTTATAATTAGTAGGCTATCAAATCCTTGGAAGCCAGGTATTTTAAATTGGTTTTAGATTTATAGTAGTAGAGATGATTATTTTTTCCCTAGAATAGACGAAGCTGTTTCTGATTTCATAACTGAAGTTCCTCTGTCTTCTCTACATTTTGTATAGAAACACGAAATTTCAAGTTCCATTAGTTTATCTGTACATCCTCTTTATACAGACTCTTTTACACAGAAAAAGAGCACAAAATAAACCCAAGGCACCAAAGTTGTTGAGGAATTAAAGCTCCAATGCGAGACCATCAGAAATACCTTGCTTATAATATTAGAAAAGGAGTAGGTTTCAAGTCAAGGGCAGTAATTGTTCAAATAAACCCTATCTTTAAGGATGTTCTACCTTCTGTTTACTATGATAAAAACAAAGGTTTCTTAAAATCTGTTTAAGATTGCACAAGATGAAAATGCATAATTAACTTATAGACTGTGTTATGGATAATTTGAAATAAAATCCAAAGGGTAAGAAGGTCCATAAAAAAAGTTATCAGAAAAGATATAAAGTTCAGGCACAATTTATGTTCATGAAACTTCCATGTAACAGATACTTAGAAGAAATGGGGAAAAAGGCAGCTGAAATGATCGGTAACAGACAAAGGTGCTGTTCAGAAACATTAGAGGAAGCTGGAGAATTATGCTGAGTTGAGATTTTTTTTGCAACAGTTTTGCTCACAGAAGCAAGGAAGAAAAGCATCAGTGAGCTGCCTGAAGTGCTGTTGTGATTATGACTTACAGGAATGGACTCTGGTATCATGCTGGAGGAGCTGTAAGGCCCATAAAGGAAGGCTGGTGCGTACTCATCTGTCACGGCGCTGTGAAAACTGCTCTGGCTGCTCAGGTTGTTGCCACTACTGCTGTTTCTGTTGTATAAGTTGTTGTTCAGTTCATGGTTTTTTCTGTGTGGCAGCTGCAAGCTGCCATTCAGGTGACTGGAGATATGGCTTAGAGAAAAACCTGTCCTAGAGGACGAGGATGTCATTTTGCTCTCATCACCATCTGAAGCAGCATACAGGTTCCCTAGAGAACTGGCTAGTCTGGAGTTTATGGAAACGCTGAATGGAAAACACATGCAGGGAGAAAAATATTCACAAGGTATGTAGAGATAAATACAAAAACATAACAGACAATTCAGAAGACATTAGATGAGTAACACAGACCATTGTGAAACAATTTGTGTTTGCATGCAGGCTCATTTCTAGCTCCTAAAGTAATGAAAAGCAGAATTCTTTGTAAGGACTTTCCAAGTTTTGCTTATTCAAGCACTACACCATGGCCAGCTTTCACCTCTGTCAAACCATACATGCATGCAGGAGATGGTGTTAAAAGGTTTAGGCAGTGTCTGATTTACACTGAAGTAGTTTGTGTACATGGAACAGTTTAAGAACTCCTCCTCTGTTTCTTGCTATTAGTTTTGTGATACAAGCCTTCAAGTAACCAAGAAGTAAATATGACAAAATTTGAGACTAGAAGTAGGGTGTCCTGAAATACCTCAAGCTGGTTACTCTGTTTATGCAAATATTTGTGGATATGTTTATTAAAAATGCATCAATCATTCTGAGCGTCGTTTAATATATATAATTGTTTAGGACAACAGTTATAATGGAGCTAAATAGTAATAAATAAATGGTTAATAAAAAAAATTAATTACCACTCAGTATTCTGAGAGTAATAGGATATAGACTAGTGGGAATAGCTGCAAAACATCTATTAACTTAACAACCCACTTGAGCACAACAGTACCGTTTCTGATGACATGATCTGTATAAAACTCTCAGACCAATCGGACAGATTTTGGGTTTTGCTTGTTTTTAAAATCGGTAGGCAACTAAAGTTCGGCTAGTGGAACAGCAAATCACTCTAAGTAAATTTAAGTCTTCTTATAGCCAAGAAGAGCAAGCACTTCATAGGCTGCAGATGTGCTGACAACCGCTGTAGGATACTGTAAGCATTTGTACAAAATGAGAAGAAGAAAAAAACCTTTTAATGTTAGAGCCTGAAGATGTGGAAAGTCTGCTTATTCTTTCTGCAGATGCTGAAGTAACTGCCATCACTCTGGAGGCCTTCAGAGGAGATATGGATCCTTCTGTGCTACCTGAAGTATTCAGTCTAAAAAGAGTGCAGATTTCCAGTGAGAAGCAAGATTTTATAATTAAAATATACACCTCCAACACATATAATCTTTCAGTACATAGACTGGTATGTTAAAAATTGTGAATTCTCAAGTCTGAGAACTCAAGAGCAAAAACTTAAGTTTGCCTGCTTAAACATATTTTTTAAAAAATTTCCCAGATATCCGCTCCAAGTATTTCCCCTGCTGCACCTTATTAAAAAGTTACAAGCTACTTTTCACCTTGGTAATTTATGAAGGCCAAGTGTCCATTTTTAATAAGATTTATTGTAAGTTTTATAATAAATTTTAGAACTCTAAATGTAAACTTTAATAAGAATACTTTTTGAGCTTACAGAGCAAGTATGAGTAGAAAAACCCAAAACTGTAGCTTTCATGAGATCAGTGTAATTTCTAAATGAAAATTTTCACAAAGTTGCACAGAACATGCAGCTCTTTCTAGGGTGGGATTCTTAATGATAAAATTCATGATGTGTTGATAATGAGCTGTATGTATGTTACACTGGACTACTCAAATTGTTACTATTATGGCTGTCCACATTAATTAATTTAAAAAATTAATTTTCTCTAGCCCTAGATAGAGGGCTTGGGTACAGATCTCCAACTACAATCACAGAAGAAAAATGACATTGAGCAGCTTTTATTACACACCAAGAAAGGGTAAACCATTCATTTCCAATGCCAGTCATCTGGAGAAATCCAACTCAAATATTCAAGTCACAAAACTGAAAAAAAAGTGCTTTTTGCAGTATTAATGTTTGATAATGATATAAATTTTGTCTTACATATTGGATTTTAGATTCAATGGGGTAAGGTATGTGATTTGCATATATTTAAAATGTTTGTTATCTGCCCAGGCTCAGAAGTCTGAAATAGTGATCACATCAATTGATTAGCAATGATCCAAAACACTGAAAATTAGGACCCTAGTCAAGTGATATACATTTAGAACTAGAATTTTAAAGTCAGTACCTGAAGGGCTGTGATATTGACCTGGTGTGGAGTTTCATGTCTTGCAGCCTAAAGAAACAAAAGCAGCGATCTTTATCCTAGATAAAGATAACCCTTATAAAAGGTTAAAAACCTTTCCCCTCTGCCAAATAATATCTGTGTGTCTCAGATTGGCATAAAATTTATATATAAGAGGTAAAATTATTGACAATCAGTGTTTTAACTTACAGTAAAAGAACAGAGAATTACTTCAGGTTTAATTTGAAAGTTCACATTTTTATTGATTCTGAAAAATTCTGAATTTCTATAAGGAGTACAGAGAAGTAATTATAGAAAGGCTACTAAGTTTAATTAGGGATATTTTGTTCAAGTCATAAGTTCTAAAATACTCTATATAAATTTGAAAATTTTGAAGTATTTTTACATTATCTTTTACTGCTACACAGTAACAAGGCATTGCTAAACAGGGAGGCAGAAGGCAAAAAAGAAGAGAAGAAAAAGATTAATAAACCAAATCTGCAACTAATAGATACATACCTGGAGAAGTTTCCATCACAGGCAGTGGTACAGTATTACCACTGCCCTAAACAAGATAATTTACCTGCCCCACAGATCTGATAGAATGGACAGAATTTAAAACTGTAAATTACTTCAGGCTGGTATAATTACCTCAGAGCTCCTGTTGTAGCAGAACAAGGCTGTCTACGACTTTTTAAGGCATTCAGCTTATCTCCCTGTGTCATCCCATTCTGAGCTTCCACATCTTTATCTTCAGAATCATTCTGGGAAACAAAAGTATGTAAGCAAGGGAATCTATCAAATCCTAGAAGCACCGAGTATCTCCCTTCACAAAGATCAGAACCCAGAAGGCTGCTCTGCTGTCTTCTGCAGACGTGGCACTACTCTTTGCACAGTTCTGGTACATGAAATGTGCCTCTGTACAAACACACTCACATAGGGCTTTTGCAGAACCTGACCTCAAAGTTCATGAATCTCAAGCTTAATGCCAGCATTTATTTACTTCAAGGAAGTCTGTTGGACATTTATACACACCGGCATTATTATTAGTTAAAAACCTGGAATAAGCACATTTTTGGTTTCCAGGAGGAAAGATGACTTTTTGTTTTCCTTAATTCTCAAGAAAACAACTGAAAATCCTGAGAGAATGACTTGAAATAATACAAACCTTCAGAAGCTTGAAAAATTACCTGTAACAGTTTTAAATATTACTAGATCTTTTTTATTAAGTGGAGATTTGGTCTAATTATGTCCTAAAAATATTTATAAGTTATCTGTAGCTAGTTATTAAAAGCTCAGCTTCAATTTATTTGAAATTTTTCCTAACACCTACCTCTTTGTATTGATCCAAGTCTTGTGCTTTATTCAGACTGTCACTGATGGAAATGTCATTTAAGCCACAAAGAACTCTGTTAATGTTTCCATCAACTCCTCGCTGTTTCTGCTTTGATCGGATGAGATCTCCCTCCCGCCATAACATTGCTTGCTTCCTTCAGGATACAAAACCAAAGCCATTCAGATCAACAAATTTGCATACACATAAAAAAACATATGAAAACACGGATGCTTACAGATTGCCAACATTTGAGTCTTCTGTACATCTTCATCTGGAAAAAAATTTACATGTCTATCACAAAAAAAAAAATTTAAAACCTCAATACTTAAAAACAACAAAAACCCCTTGAGAATCACCAAATAAATCTATAGTCATCACAGTACTAAAAATTAATTTTCTTAAATCCTTCTGGGGAAAGAGGTTAACTAAATAGGAATTTGTGATCATGTTTTAATGGCTCTTAAAACACAACTTAAAAAATAATATAAACCAGTTTTTTATATACATCATGTGTAGCATAACTGATGATACAGAACTTTGCAACTTACTAGTGTGTGTTTTCTGGCTAGAGATATTGTCCAGGGAAACTACAGCTGACCTGTGCAGTGCAATTGGATGGATGTAGTCATGTAAAATTCACCAGGACTCTAATATTGATTTTTAGAAAGTGAAAGAATATATCCTTCAACCGGGTGATAAAAAATAATAACAATTTCTTTGCTTCAACATGCATGGGCAGAGCAGACTTTTTTCTATGAGTCTGCATTATTCCTCAATAAGAAAGTTTGCTGGGTAGGTACCAGTCATGCTAGTTCCATCCAAGAACTGAGACCCTGTCACATGCTACTGAAACAACATTGATTTCCTACACTGAACAGAGAAGAAAACAGTGAGGAATTAAATCAGAATACACTTTCACTGGAAGCATTTGTTTGGAAACAAAATATTATGGCAGACCTGAAGAGCTAATGGATGTGAGCCAAGTGCCTAAGCTTGCTCAATAATAAATGCAAAAGTAAAGCCCTTCAGAAAAATTTCACCACATCCTTAGTAAACACCACTGGGAAGGAGAGGGAGTGCCACTTAGTCCACCTAACAGAAGTAGCCTAGAAAACATACTTGAATTTAAATACCATTGAAGTCTTTCAAGATTATTGCATATGCAGTAACAAACTGATCTGATACACATTTAAGTGGAAGAGTTTCTATTAAAAAAAACCCCAACCTCCCTTATCAAACCTCAAGGAATCTAGATTAGGTTTTGACACCTTTGAAGCTTGGGAGATCGAAATTGCAAGATGTTACCTTTTGTAAGACACAACTTTGCAGCCCTGAGAGCAAGACATTTTATATTAGAAAGATGTAACTGACATTCTTTCCTAGCCCCATTTTGACACCACTGGTGTCATTGCTTGACTTTTCTCTGACTTTTGAAACAGGTACCTACTACCCTTAGGAGAGAAGAAAATTCTTACTGAACAACACTGCAGCTCTCAGCTGTAACAAATGTAGGTAGATCCGAAGGATCTTTGCCTGTCTATAAAACCAAGCCAAGTATTCCTTCAGTCAAACCAAGAAAGGACATGGGCCTTGTTTTTCCTATCTTGAAAGTAAACAGCACTTACTGTTCACATTACCTACTAGCTTTCTTTTCATTTTGCTCTATTGTGCAAGTCATTTTTAAGAGTGTATCATCCAATCATCAACACTGTCTGAAGAAGTATAATCTGGCTCCAGTGAACACCTGTAGCTTGTGATCTGCAGTATTTTGAATAAGAGCAAGCCACCTCACAAATAGAGGTGTGTCCATGCAGTTGCACTGGAAAAGAAATAAAACCCCTCATTCATGCTCTATTTCTCTTCAGTTACAGTAATACCTCTTTCTCTCCAATATCCTATGGATTTTAAGATTCAAGGTCAGTGCATCTTTCACAGTATTTACACACTACCTAAGAGAGCTGATAAATTATTTTTCCTATTTGTAGTGGAATTTCTTAAAATGCTTTGTCCCATAAAAGTGAGAATGCCTCCAAGTAAATATCACCATGCCATTAACTCAAATATATCAGCATAACCACAATTTTAAATGCACAACACAGAAACCACTATGACATTAAACTTACTATCTACATCACTGTCATTCATTTCCAGTCAGGATCAAATCTGAAGTTGTATTAGAACCATACATTTGTTTGCCTCGAACTACTAGTTCCAAATGAGAAATGTTTAATACATCCCAAATGAGGAATGGTTCATGCATCATGCTGAGGAATCTGACGTAGATCATAAGCTTTCTACCAAGTACTTATTTAATCTTCAGTTACAATAAAGTAAAACCATACAAATGATACCATTTTAAGATTAATTTTAAGTGCCATAGATGGTATATAAAGTATTTAAAGACTATTCTTTCAATGCTAATATTTAATCCTATTTGTTGATTTCATCTTTTGTCCACATTTGTCCACTTCCAACACATGCGTCTAAATCCTAAATTCCCCAGAACAGAAACGTGCAGTCATGAGGCCCTGTGTCCTTCTAAGGGGACAAAATGCACAGAACTCCAGAGAAGTTGACTGCTTCTGAGTAAGTCAGATTTCAATCCCCTATTAACTAACCTTAAATCTATTGAACAGGCAATAACTTTCAAATGTCAGTAGACAAATTAGGTCCTACATACACTGCAAGATGGACAGGGATGGAGAAGAGCAAAGAAGGTACATATAAATGTATACATACTCTTCCAAGAAGTGTTGCTGGGGTCCTATAATAGAGCCTGGGCGACATATTCTTATCCAAGCAATGGCTTCAGCATGTGTGAACTTGTAGTGCTTCATTATGTAACAGGCAATCAGTGTTCCTGTTCTCCCCAGGCCAGCTACAGAAACACAAGAGGCAACAACCACATATGAAGGGATGAGCATTCCAGAATTATCAAATAAAAGTATGGGATGTAAAAAAACTTCCATGCAATTCACCATATTACTATTTGAAGAAAATTTCTATTCAGTGTCCCATTTATCACATAATTCAATTTCAATGCTAGGTACAGATATAGGGACAAATCTTTCATACTTTAGAAAAGTTAATGTTTAATAGCACACCTGCAACAGTGATCACTTGTGGTTCTTGAAAAATTATACTCTGAACTTTAAAAAAGGCCAAAATTTTTTAAAAAGCTGTGATCAAGCTGGATACCAACTTCATATTTATGATACTGGTAAAAAACCATAATCAAAGTACCTTTGAGAGGCCAGCACAAGTACCTAGAACCCATGGTGCAAATACATCATATCTCAACAGAGAGCAAGTCAGTGGGTTCTTTTTTTTGAATCAGTTTTTTTTTTTTTTATGTGAAACCAGCACATAAAACTATTTACTGCTATCTGTATAAACAGCAATGACTGTGGTCCAGTGTATAATTTTAGATATCAATAGCTTAAAAAAATTTAACCCATTGCCCAACAAATCCCAAACTAATCCTGTTGTTAAGGGGACAACAGAGACACAGAGAAATTAGCTTTTACTATCAGTCAAATCTCAAAACTAGAAAGTAAGAATTAATCTCTTTCTAGCTTTGTGTCTCATGTAGTAGTAAAGTGTTTCCCCATTTAAACCTTATTTCCCATAAATACAGTATTTGCAATTTAGGGTCTCACAGTAGCCTGCTATTGTTTATGCACCAACAACTATCCAAATGGAAACTCTGCAAGCAGCCAGACATCTCTGCTGACAATTCTATACGCAACTACAAGCTCTTTACATTTAACCACTAACTCTGACTTTTTTGAAAGTGAAGATGATTTAGGTAGGATGAAGGTAGAAGTTCACACATAGTGAGGGTCCGTAATTGTAGCTTGGAAGACAAGCTCTGAAGACTCACTTAAAAGGCGAAGTATTGATTTCATTTCTTCCCTCCAACATTCTGCTAATGTACAAACTTTCCATTGCAATCCTCTGCAATTAGCTGTTCTATCTCATCTCAGACAAGCAGTTTCTGGAGTAATAGCTGTGCTCAGAACACCTCTGCAATATAACTCTACCTGAGTAAGGCCTGAGTTAACTGTTGATTTAATACTGTAGAGAATTATTTAGGGTGGTATAAAAATGAAAAAGAACAAGATTGTTGATTTGCTTGCTAAATGGTCAGACAAAAGATCAAAAATACTTCAGTGCAGAAAGCACATCTATAACTCACTACCAAGTGTGTTATATTCCTTTAGCAGTTAAGCCTGGAGAATAACTTACTAACAACCTCCTGCTAATCGATGATTTATACTCTTATTTAGCTAATTGGCAGATGCCCAGCTTATCAATGCCAGAACATCTGGGTTCTAGCAACAGTAACAACTTGTTGGAAAATAAACCTGTTTATCTTTGATATGCATATTTATTGTTCACAGGAAAATTATGAATAGTATTATTCTTTCTTCTGATCAGGCAAGACATTTATCTCCACAATGTCCTTACACAACCCTAAACATAAATCAAGCTGAACTCTTAGAAGCCTTTGTTAATCTCTCTTGACTAAGCATGTTTGGTGTATTTTCTGGCTGGTTTGCTGAATTAGGCTGGTTTGAAATGCTGGCATCACAATAACTCACATCAACTTGAAATGTGGAATTCATACTCCACAGAAAAATGTAGAACAGACAAAAAGCACAAAGAAAACCTTTTAGTGTTTTTCATTTCCTAGACAATTATCATAATGCTGTGAAAGCATAATGCAAAGAAGAAACCTGCATCAACTAAATCCCAAGTTTTCAAGTCATATTGAAAAAACCCCACAGAACAATGAACAACAGATTGTCAGTTCCTGCAAATAACAGTGTAGGATGTAAGGATTACATATACACAGGAAAACAACGAATATTTGGCATATATTTAGTCAAGCACCATAAAGCATTATTACTCCCACAATCTGAAAGTGTTCTTAAATGCTGTATTTCTGGGATACACTCCATGGATTTATACTTATTTTGAATTTCACTCAGAAATGAATAGGTGCACATACCTTTACAATGTACAGCGATGGCACCATCAGCATTTTCACAGATGTTCAGGAACCTCTGGACTATACTGTCACTTGGTGTACTGCCATCAATGAAGAACAGATCATAATGCTCAAAACCAGCTTCAGTAAAGCGTTTTGCCTCATAAATTTTTTTGTTTAGTCTTATGATTGATGTGACATTATGCTTCTTGAAATAAGGAAAGTAGGCTTCAGGTGCATGAAGAGGATAACCTATAAAAAATATAAAGCCACATATATATAATAATAATAATAATGTCCTAGGTTATATCTAATAATTTCCTAGGTTCATAAAGTTCAAAATCCTGCTAAACAAAATAGCCCCTGAAAACTTTTTTAATAATAAACACACTAATACTAAAAATGCTTTAATACTTTATTCAGAATAAACATGTTAAGGGATATTAAAAAATTGTCTAAAAAATGGTCATTAAGACCACTTTTATTATAAAAAGTATTAGGAGGCAAAAATTTAAAACAGAATCTACGTGAAACACTGTTCTGTCTCACATTAAGCCCCCATTCTTCCCTGCAAGGGGGATTTATACATAAACCTGGGGACATATGAATTCAGCGATTCAGAACAGCTGTTTATCTAGAGTCAAGCTGCAGATCAAAGAATAGAAGCATGCTTGAAGAGGAAACACTGTTTTTATGGAAAATAGATTGCTCATCTATATTATGGACAGGAGGAATAGTCAAAGGATAAACTTCAGAACCAAAAATATTCCTTTTTTTTTATTCCACTAAATCACATTCTCCAGGTTCTTCACATTACCCCAAGGATCTTCAGTAGGAAAGGCAAGCTTCTTTTAAGTCTTTCCTGGTCTGTGTCACAAAACTCCTAACATAGTCATCTGTGTTTAATTCAACTCACCTTTAGTTCTGCACACTTACTGTATCAGGTGGCAGGTTTCAGGAGGATAGTAAGTGACCTGAGTCTCTCAGGCACTTTGTCACAGGATGAAAAGTTACTGACTGTTAGAAGAATTGAAATTCTTCTGGCAAAGAAGAATTCCAAAACTTTTTGAATTAAATTCTATGAGCATATATAAAATGCTCACTGGATGATTATTGCTGAAGATTAAAACGGATCTATGATCCTCTATTGCCTTCTGATTTTTTGCTGTGATGGTTTTACATGCTGGAAAAATAAGATCATAACACAGCATTAAAACATACACCATACCATTTTCAAGTTTGCTTTTTGGGTGTGGTCCACTAAAAGCCAAAAACTTTCCTGGAATAATCCAGTTGAAGTCACCATTTTCCACTCGCTACAAAAATTTCAGAAAAGAAAGACATTTTAATATCTGTATATACAAGTTAAAAAGAATTAGTCAAGATTTTGTTTTACTCTTCACTGTGTTCTTGTGGCATTAAAACAAAACACTTCAAATGTAATTAGCTGGCTTAAATATATGGGACAAATTAAGCATAAACTGCTTCTCAGATCTTAATAAAATGAAATATAAGTAAAACTTGCTTAAGTTTTCCAATAAAAGCAGGAAGATCCTTTATGTAAGATATTTCTCCTTGAGAGGGTTCGGTGTTTCAGAATACCTATTAATAATACTGACAAACACCATCATTCTTCTATGTTTTAATGAAAAATTATGGAAAAGTGCTTCCTCATGAGGCACTAGCTTAAAAACCCAATTCACAGAAAACAAATTAAAAACCAATTAGCCTTCAAAACAATTACCCTTTCCCTGTAGAAACTGAAATTTACATATTGGCATAAGCTCTGATGAGCCAGTAATCAGAAAGAAGAAAAGTGTAAATTAAATAAAGAGACTAGATTTTAATAAACTTTCAAATAATGACATTTTGCATTTCTTGCTCACTTTTACTGTGCCTTTTAAAAGGCTCTTCAAATTCTGTCACTGCTGAAAATGAAAGCTTCTTTGGAAATATGTAACATGAACTGTAGCTCTAAACTGCCTTCTTTTATTTCTTTAATTGAAGACTGCTCATTCCTTGTTTGGCAGTGCAGTTATTCTCAGCATGACTTTTAAGGACATGGCACTCAGTTCAGCTGCATTATTAAGCTTGTGTTTTTAGCTCTCAGCTCATCAGAACATACTAATGAGTGAAAGGTTCTAATAATGGACACCACTGTAATCAATCCAGGAACTGTTTGCTTAGCTGAGCCCATTAGTCTTGCTCCCCATGTCCCTACACAATGGAAACTCCTGGAAATTACCCAGGTTGCATAACGCCTGGAGAACCAAGCTCAGTGCCAAACCAGGACCCCTGCCCCCACGGGTATCACAGACTGACATTTCAGCCCTGCAGCACCCCTACTCCCTTCAGAGAAGAGGTCCTGTTCAGCAAGCTAAAAAGATTTTTGTGTTTGTATCACCAGTTTTATTTGTGGATTAAGTTCTTTATAGTTACAGGGGTCATGACAAATAATTTCAATTTTTATCAATATGAACAACAGGTATCTCTGTATATGTGTATATGCATATGTTTGACACTACATGCAAACATCATTACCACTAAAAAACCCAATCAGTAATTTACTTCCAGTCCAACAAAAGGGGAATTAGCTGCCTTGATAAGATAGTAAGATGAAAGAACTATAAACATGAAACAATTTCCTTTTAACCTGCTCCATTTAAGTTGTATGCAACTTTTGTCTACAAAACCACACATTTGAAGACCTAACATAGCAAAAGTCTGTAACATTTAAAGTTTTTGAAATATAGCACGGGACATAACTAAACACAAAGCTGACCATGATGCGTGAAAAAAAAGGAGACATACCAAAAAATGGACAAAAAATTAAAGATGATTGCAAATTCTTGCTTCTTAAACTCAGCAAACAGCATACTATAAACATCAGTCACATGTATGTACTTTTCACATGCTAAAATAATGGTAAGCCTTAAACAAGATAATGGGATAGCTTTAGGCAATTATTTTAAGGCTCTTTTTCAAGCAGACTAACACCTACTATACATACAGAATTCCAAACTACCATTTGTTTTTAGACTGAGTTTTTCTTTTTGTACATGGAGTAAGCAAAAAGCAGCAATTTCATATTTTAAATTTTACTTCCTGTTAATTTAATTTTGGTAATTCTGCAAAGGCTATACCAATTTTTGAACCTAATCATTATGGAACATTGCAGGATACAGAAATCCTTTTACAAATGCTTTCAAGTTTAGTAAAATAGGCAGATTGGTGTTACAGACTGCCTGCTGCAGACATCTACTGTACGGATGTGCTGTCAATTAACTTTTTCCACTGTTTATTCCTCTTCTTCACTTTCTCGAACATCAATGAAGCATTTCAGTATGTACCTGAAATACATACAGCTATAGGAAATGCTTTTAAAATGGAGATTTTCAAACCTAGCAACTCTATTCTCATAACTTCCAAGTTTTCTGAAAATTGCAATAGTGTGGAAGAATATGTGACTTCAGTAAAGCAACACAAGTTTAAAAAGAGAATTAATTTATATTCAAATATTTAGCACACCTCTAGTTTATATATCTTTCTCCTTAACCCGTACAGCTACAGGAATGTATAGGTGTTCCAAAGACAATGTCCAATAAACTAAATGATTGTCACTGACTTCAGTAAAAGCCTTTTCCCTTCCTTGGAGTGAGACCTGGTAGACAAAGATCATGCAACTCTTTCGGACCAGATGTACACACACCTTCTGTGCCTGAGATTTCCTCTGCACACAGCCCAGTCCACAGGTACAACATGGCATATTTTAAAGCTTCTCTAAATCAATGTAGCTTGAGGTAATTTTTACTACCAGCGAATAAAGGTGTACATGTTACAAAGTCATAGAAACATCTAGAGCCAACCAGAATACCTATACCTAGGTTGTAGGAAAGTTGGCAGAACAGTGAAATACACCTGTTAGCTTTATGGGACTTCATTAGGGAAATACTTTGGATGTATTTCCTTAACTAGAATTCCACATAATGCATCCTTACTAAAAACTCCTCAAAATTTGCTTCATCTATGTGGCTATAAAATTGTCATATATTTGGGACTAATAGGAGTGGAAGCAGGAGCTAACAAGTGCTGAAAGAAAACATTCTGTGGGTCAGCTGAGAGACCTTGGATTGTATCCTGGGAGAAGATTGGAAAGCATGAGAGAGGTCCCAGAAGCCAGGAAGGCTACAAGAAAACAGTAGATTTATGCTGTGCACTGAAATTGCAAGGATAGTAATTCTGCATGTTCTTCAAAAAGAGCATATAGGTTTCCATGTACATATCTTACAAATGAACACTGGGTTTTACTCAAATTAAAAAGTGCTTCCAGTATGTTCTAAGTTGGGAGATACTGAATACTCCTATTTTATGTAACTCAAACACATTCAATGCATTATTAAATGTACAAACCTCATAGTGCTCATATTCATCCACATCAAATGTCTTAAAGTCAAAAAATCCATGCTGCAAGGCCTAAAAGGCAACAAGGCATCAGTTTACACTGAAATACAATATATAATCTCATTTTATAATACTTTTTTGAGCAAAATTAAATCCCTAATTATGGCTTATTGAAGCTTTTATGTTAAGACATTACATTTTGCACAGATTAACAACACAGACAACAAAAACTCCAACAATGTCACTGAAACATGTCAGGCTCATTATTTCCCCTCCAAAGACACGAGGATGGGACACAAGGTTGTTGCATATCACTTAAATCGTAACATTGATTCTACACACCCCACCTTGTGGGGTTTTTTTCTGTAAGGCAGACAGAGGTTAAATAGCAATTCCCTTTTTGTCATACACTCACTTAATGATTCCTATGCCAAATGTATTTTCATGCAGTTTGACATAACAAAACATTGAACACTGAGAGCTTATTGATTTTCTGCACTTAGTATGATACTCTGGTTTTACCACCATAATACCTAGGTAAAATGGCATATACAGAATGCAGCACCATGTACAATCTGTATTTCTATTATTTCTTTTAATACACATTTTACAGGTACAATAAAGTCCACTAGACTACATTAGACAGTATTTATTACAGAAATGAAAGAAGTCTTGTATTCAGCTATTTTTATTATTATTTATGCCACATTTGTACTAAAGATTTGTATCTAATAACCATATTGAAAACAATTCCATGAATAAAAAATTCATAGCCAATATTTATTCCAAACTCATGGAAGACATTCCTGAAGCATATATTTATACTGAACCAATTGCATTTAAAAAAAACATAGATATTGCACAAAATTCTGGAATTTAAGTGTGATAGGACCACATCACAGATCTGTGATTTAAAACCAATAATCAGACTGCCATTGTTTGCTACATACCGATCATCTTTTTAGGACAAATGAAAAATAGTTTTATTACAGACAAAATAGGCTCAATCACTGGACTTCTCATGAAACCTAAGATACTGGGAGGTTTGTCTGAACAGCTGATTTTAATTTTACAAAATGTATTTCATTGAAGCATGGCTGGCTGGCTGCACTCCACAACTTGCAGGCCCCCTGAATTACATGTATATTACATACACACATACAAACACCAAATTTATCCAGGTAAACTAAGACTACTTTCAATTAAGGCATGTTTTCTGCCCAAAGTGTTTTTACCTCTGTATGTGAACTAGACAAAAATTAAATAATAAATTTTATGAGAACAAAGGAGGAAAAACTGATTCTCACCGTCCTTTTGATGTATTAGCTGCAGATAAATTACAGTGATTGCACTGACTACTTCAGATCTTCAGGATCTGTAGAATGCTTCACAAATTACAGTCTTGCTGGTAACTGACAGCTCCTTTCCCACCCCCACAGAGCTAAAAATATTAAGCTTGATCTCTCTTTTTCCAATTTTTAAAAAACACTTGTTTTGCCACTTTTAAGACTTACAAGTGGTCTATAAAGTATCTGTACAGCACTGTTCCTATAGTCTGTTCCGTTCACCCGAAACAATGGGAAATGACAAACAAAATTTACATGTCCCCATTTAAGAACTGATGCAAAATATTTTAAGAAAACAATACTGGAGCTTAATAGCTCAGGACTACTTAAAGTGATACATCAAACCTCTACTAAGATACATTAGTTTTCACTGGTTTTAAAAAGTTTTGAAAAGATCAGTGTCAAACACTGAACCTAGTGTTTTGGGGAAAGCAGGGGCCAAGTACATGCAAAAACTATTCTGATTAAATGACAATATACCTAGGTATCTGTTTCACTTGACCTCATCACCTGTCACTCCCTCTCACCAATGGTTAGAAACGACCTATCAGCAGACCTAGCACAGTGTCTTGCCTTAAGAGCTGTCCCCCAGCCAGGTCTGGTGCATTTTCATGTTCTACTTCATGAGGTGAAGTTCAAAAAGCTGTCAAAGGCCAGTCCAGGCAATCAAAGTGCAACCTTCCTCTGCCATCAGTACTCAAACACAGTCCTCAGTAACTTAGGTTTCATCACTACTCATACACAAATCTGCTCTGAAACCAGGTTTTATAATCCATTTAAACAGGATTTTTCTTCAAGTTTTAAAAATCAATTAAAACCTGTTTTGCTAAGAAAAAATGTTATTACCTTATTTACTCCCTGTAAACAGTCCAAGATCGTAAGATTGTATGTGCAGTTCCCAAATGAAGCATCCCTACAGATTTAATGCAAATTAATTTAATATACAAAGAATTATTTTAAGAACTAGGACAAAAGCAGAACACAACAGCATACATTCAAACTATTCCATACCCTTGGAGAACTCTGAATTAAAGTTCAAAGACATCTTTTTAGAAGTTTGTCCAGGCTAAAGTACTCCCCCACCCAAGATGTAGCTTAGACTAAATGTGGTTAGATACTGCAAGCTACTTTAGGTGCAAATTTTATATCAGGTAACTACATGCCCTTTACAAAATTATTTATGCTATCCTGGAACAGGAAGGTTTGCATCCTCTCTGGGTTGTGTAAAGATAGTAGCAAATAAAGCACAGCCTGCTTTAAACATTTTTCAAGTCTTAACTTAAGTTACACTAACAGGGGCAGGCAAATAAGACTAATAGCTTGGAATTAATTTACAAGCTTCCATTTTGATGCCTGATTACAGATGTGATTAAAAGCTATCCCAATATAATTAAAATTATTTAACCTCAGCATACCACATGAAAATTACAATTTGTCTGTAAAAGAAGAAAGAATCACCATCAAACACACACCACCAAAAAAAAGCATGGTGGAAAAATGAAAATGTACTTTCCGAAGTCTGCTTCAGACCATTCTGATTTTAACAAAACTCTACCTGAGCATATTACTTCCTTATCACTCATTAAGGAAATCTTTTACAGCTTTTCTCTTTGCTATCTTAGACAGAGTCCTAAGAACTGCAATTTATCAGAATAGTAAAATTTTAGGTTCAGGCAGATACATATTTAATCTATAATTGATTCAAAATTTCAATCTTTCATTGAAAACTTTACTTTTTTGATAAAACTTGCTATAACTCGTATGAAGTTTTTGATATGCTCCTTCAATCTCAAGTACTTTAAGAGTAGAAAATTCTCTCCTATTCTTTAAGAGCAGAATAAGTTTACCAGTTTTGAGCAGTGTTCATAGAAAATGATTTCAATAAAATTAAAAGCTACTATTTTGGCAGTGTTATATTGCAGGCAGGTCAATCTAAAAATGCTTTCCAAATATTAGATTATTAAAACACACTTAACCATAAATTTTGGAATGGGAACTCTGAACTTTATATGAATCTTCCATATCCAAATCCAACAGAGAAGTTTTAAAAATGAGAATACATAAAATATTTTCCTTATGTTGAATAAGCAGAACATATCTAAACTTAATATATAAATTTTGCAGACAACACGTTTTTGACAGATAATGGATTAACATTATTATTTTGAATATCACATGATAACAGATCATTTTAGCACAAAATTCTCTTAGCAAACAAAAACATCTTGTGAGAAGAAAAATTAAGGGCCCCAATGGGAACACATACATAGCAGAAAGGGTTTAAAAGATGTACCAGTTTTCTGGAGGGGCTGACAGAAATAAAATCAACAAATGCAGACCACAAAACTAAATATTTAGAGAAACATGAATAGAAGATATGGTTGTGTCAGACGGGTTCTATTTTAAATGTTATTTTGTTGTAACAAGAATATAACTTTTATTTTATCTGTATGTATAATTATTGCATAATTACTTTTTTGACTGAAAAAGCATCTGATAGTGCTGTACATGAAAACTGTGCTGGGGAGGGGAATCACATGATCCCTAAGCCATTAGTAAGAAATACTACAAAAGAGGGAGGGAGGATGGTGAAGCTGACCTAGATGTACAATTCCAGGTGTACAGTAAGCTCAGCTACAGTTCCCACAGCCAGCTGTTACCAGTGACCTGCACACAGATGCTGGCAGCTAACACAGACTTCCTCCAGCATCCACGTCTCAAATTTCTCCTGATGTGCACCTGACCATTAAAGTAGGTACTGATCATGTTTCATTACGGTATTCTTGGAGTCCTTTATGCCCAAATGAATAGCCACCTTACTTTTGAAATAGTGACAGAACTCTATTCAGTTTCAAAATGAGAAAAAATGTGAGTATTTCTAGGAGATGCAGATTTAGTATGAATCTGAGCTGGCATTACAGAGTTGTATATCCCACATCCGATTTCACAGTTGTAGCTGACCTCAATACTGCATAATGCTTTCCCTTTCACCAAAACACTAAATACTATCAATAACAGAACAATTTGTTTCCCCAGCACCTACCAATAAAGAAACAAACCCCAGAAGCTATGAACTAAAATCCACCTCTGAAATTCACATCATTATTTAGAGACTGAACATAACAGTATTAAAATATATTTGTTTTTTCATCAATACAAAGTAGTTTGAGGTAAAAATCTGAAATTCTGTTTCTCAGTAGGCAACTGGTATTCATGACAATTTTAAATGGTGTTAGCACTGTTTTTAAATGGAAGTGAGAAGATACAGTATAAGATCTTCAAGAGACTAGAGCGTCACCAAGTGACAGCGAACCAGCCAAAAATAAGACAAAAGTGTCTCAAAGACAGTACTGCCTTATCCTGCCAAGTTATCTTTAGCTTTTCTATTATAAAAACAAACCAAAACAAATTTCCATGAATTTTGTAAGAGAAACAATCTGATTTTTTTCCAACCCTGAACTGTATTTGCTGAAGCTGTCTTTAAATGAAATACCAGCTGAAGACCTAAGCCGATTAGGGTTTTTTGAGGTCACTCAGCTACATGAAAGTAGATCAGTTTCCCAGTGCTCACTTCATGTAAATCTACCTCAGTACTCCACAAAGAATCTGACAATGCTGCAGCTTCTCCCTATTCAAAGTTGTCTGTTTTTTTTTTTTTTTTCAAATAGAGGACACTTCACATATCAAATTAACAAAATTGTAAAATAGTCCGGTTGTAACACTTAATTGATCATTGCTCACTGACTAACTGAAACTATTCAAACAGACATGACCTATACGACAGAAGTTATGTAATATCTAAGTTCCATGTTGCAAGATAAATTCAAGTCCGTAAATACTGAATAGCAATGATTAGTATCTCCAAATTATTTCCTTTATAGACCTTTAGCATGAGGGAAGAGGTAAAACATCTGGGTTATGCTTTGATTAAGAGTTATTTTAGTTCTTTTCAGGACACTAAAGGCGTGAAAAGACTGCAAACTTCCTCATAGCACCACCTTGTTTCTGCCAAGCTGACACTACCTAAGGCTACTGCTTCCAGCACAGGTTCAATTGCTTGAGCCTCTGTACTATGCTAGATTTTGCAACAGAGATGGTCCAAATATGTTGGAATGGGGGCCAGGGGTAAATGTCTCAAAGGCTTTGAAACAGCGGGGAGGATGACTAAATTATTTCTTTCCCATTCCTAGCTAATCTAGATTGTCTCACTGCAGACCCTCATCAGATCCACTTGCCCTCCTTGTATACACCAACCTCCACCTGTGAACTCCACACACTAATAGCCCCTCCCTGTCAGACTTTCCATTTCTCATCTAGCTTCTAATGACAATTCTTCATTTTATTTCCTCACTCCTCTTTGTCCCCCCTCCAGTACAACCAGGTTACACACCCATCTTCCCCAGCAGGATGAACTACACCACAGGTAATGGAATCTGTTTAGGCTCTACTCCAGAGACAAGAGCTGACTGAGTCCAAAGCAGATCCAAAAGAAACATAAGTGCTTTCCAGCCCCACACCATGCAAGAAAAAATGCTCAAGAAATCAGGATGTTTAATTATTCTAGCAAAAGCTCCCAACACTATAGTCCTTCTAGAGACAGCAAGGCTCAAGAAGAATGTCTCCCTCTAACATCGCCAAAGCTTTGCCTTAAAAAACCCAAACGAAGCAACAAAAGCCCAAACACATACCAGATCCCACCTACAGCAGACAACCCACCACAAAAACCCCATAACTGTCAAAAGCTTTAACTTTAGACAATAATTTCTTTCACAGCAACCCAGGGCTTGAAACATTTGGAAAAAGACTGCAAAGTAGCTATGTTTCAGAATATCCTACTCCATACATTTATTGCCATTTTCTCCTGAAGCTAACAGATGGAATTAAACAATTCTTCTTTTGTAATCATTCTACCAACCCAGACAGCAAAACTCGAGTAATCTCTTTGCTGGACTTTGCCTTCTTCAATGTTTTTGGATAGTATACTCTTCCCAGGGAAACATAAAAAGCTCTTTTGTATATAATATAAAATTATCTCCAGAAAATCTTGCTGTGCCTTCTATTTTTTTATTCCTCCTTTGATGATTCTAGAATAGCTAAGTATTCTATTTTGAAATAAAATTTCATTAATTCAAATTCACAAGGATTACCTATGAATAATCAATTAACACTTAATAGGAAATTGTTTTGTGTCATTAAATTTGTTACTGTGGTTCCAATCAGCCTCACAATCACAGAGATAATTACTTTCATTAGTCCTTACCAGTCAAGAAGAAACAGCATTTTCTTATTATTGCTTATCAGTATTATAAGGAATTAGTTGTAAGGCAAGAATCCATAGCCTTTGATTGAAGCCAACAGGGCCTGTGAGACTGTTCTGCAAACACACTATTCCTCCCAAGTTTTCTGTCTTAGCATTTTGGTACCTGACAAGTAAGTTTCTTCACTCTGTCAAAATCTCTTTTCTACACACCTTAATTTTCACCTTGGCAGGGATGACAAAAACCTAAAGACATACCAATTTACTACAATTCCAAACAGTAAATTTCTTTAGTTGGTCAACAAGATACAGCTATTCAGCTATGGGGCCTCATGAGATGTATCCATCCTCAGGGTCCTGAGGGAACTGGCTGGTGGTGTTGTAAAGCCACTCTCCATGACATTTGAAAAGTCATGGCAGACAGGCCCAGTCCCAGTGACGGGAATAAGGGAAACATCCATCCTATTTTTAAAAAGAGTAGAAAGGGAGTGCCAGACAACTGCAGGCTGGTGAGCACCACCTCTGTGCCTGGATAAATAATGAAGCAGATCCTCATGGAAGCAATGCTAAGGCACATACAGATCATTGTTTATTGTAGATTGTGATCCCTGTATCTTATACAGAACTTGGAGATGTTAAAAAACACTGACATGTTTAAAATAACTGATTTTTAAATGCATTGTACCAAGTATCTTTTATGATTAGCGGAAAAAAAAATATGGATACCAGTAGCTCAGTAAACTTGGGTTCTGGAGAGCTATTAATGATCAGAACAGTGTATAAATTCTCTGTCAATAAATGCTATCAGTGATTTAATATCTTTTCTTCAAATGTAGCTGATGGTTTAAAACTTCATAACCAAATTGGTCTTGACATAAAAAAGAATCTACAACCCCAGCAGTTTATACTGCATCTGCCTTCTGTGCAGAGTATGAGAAGAAACAATCTGATCCTCCTTTGCTGAGTGGCTGAAGAATCAGAGGAATTTGATATAGACAAGGTAGGTCTACATTTACAAGTGCACTGGCTGACAGTGAACACTACTTGCAAAATGCTGATTCCCCTAAAAGAGAGAATATTGACCTTCTTACAGTTGCATTTTATTGCCAGTGTTTGCATAAGAATACCATGAGGTATTCTCATTCATAAATCATAAGGGAATTTCATAGTCCACACCATGAAAAATATTTGGAAGTCTCTCTATCAGATAGGCATGATAGCTAAAATTCCTTAGATTCAAGCCTCAATGTGACCTTAGTACAGAGTTTAAAGACAGGTTGATAGAAGCTATCCATGATTCACTGAAAACACTCTAACCTTGATATCAGTACCTGTTCTGTAAAATAGAGAAAATGTAACAGCATAAAACCCCCTTCAATCCTGTAAGTCTCATTAGCTAGGGACTAGGTAATTTCAAATATTTGAATGACTTCCAAATAATAAAACACAACGCATTATGAAGAAAAGGTTTAAGTGCTAAATCACAAACATGCTAAGAACTATTTTCAAAACCTGACAGTTTGCTAGACTGAGTCTTACTTAAGACTTATATTGATCTAAATAATTTATTATTCCCACAAACAGCAAGCAACTATGCAAGATGTAAAAAATAATTTTTCTGGAAATCAGTCATTTTCATACAATACCCATAACAGACATGAAACGCCTTTTTGGGAGGCAATCTAAACCCCGAACTTTTAGCAAATTTCAAAACAGAGAAGTAGCCTTATTTCTTCTGTTCACATACCTAAATGGAAGATATGGCGGATTAGATCCAGATAAAAGCATCCTGTAAGCTTCTTCTGGTGTTTTCTTCAAGTATATGACCTAAAGGGGATGGGGGAAGAGGGGAAAAAAAAATCAGCCCTGAGCCGGAAAAGTCTTTAACCAGACAGGAACTTCCTCCAGCACACTAAACTTGTAAGACTGCCTGCTTTACTCCTTCATGATCAATTCCTGTAATACATACAGATCAGAAAAGACATGCCTACATGAAGAAAAGATTCAGCTATCAACAGAAGTCCAAAAATTTTGTTTTGTGTCAATCCCATACTTTAGAAAAAAAAAAATTGGAAAAAAAAGCCACATAATGCTGCAACTGAGAGACTTCAATGTTGCATGAATTACTGTAAAATAGCCTACATTTAAAGCTTAAAGCCTTGCTTGTAGACAAAAGATCTTTAGAGGGTAGTTCAGAGAACTTCAGGAAAAAGATGGGTTTCCATCTTATCAAGCAATTAGAGACATGAAGTAGGGGCAAATTTGTACCACATGTTTTCCCAATACTGCAGGTTTTATTTGACAGAAGTTCTGGCCCTTCAAAGCTGTGTCTGCTCAAGACATTCACACATGACACTTTGAACATAACACTGGTCATTGTCTGTCCACACAGCTAATAAAGGCTCATAAAAAAGACACCAGGAAGAAACAGAAAAAAGATATTAATAACACAAAAGGAGGAGAGGGAAAGAAACACTGAAAGAGCTCCAGAAAAAATCAAAAGTATCTCGGATGTCAAGAGCAATGCAATAACTGAAGGAGGAAGTATAATGAAATGAAGACAAAAACATTACAGTATGTCTTCAGCACCTAAAAAATTTTTTCCATTAAGAAAAATCAAGGTGACATTTTCTGACTCATCTGTATCGATGAAAAGTCAGCAACCAAAACTTAGTTTCATTTTTAACCTAAAATGATGAATCTTCAGAGTGTTTTCCTTCTGCAACATCACAAATAACCCTAACAACACAAAAACCCCAGTGTGAAAAGTTTGGATAAGCTGAAGCTTTTTACGATATGAAAAAAGCAATGTAAAAGCTTAAAAATTACTTTATAGATATTAACTATTCTCTTAGAGCATTTTTTTTACAAGGGACGAGGTTTTCTTCCCTTTCCCCACTGTCACTACTGTAACTCTAACCCTGTGGCACTACTACTTGTAAAACACAGATTAAAAAAATATCTGAACATTTTTTTTCTCTGACATTTTCATTTTTATGTTCTCAACTTCCTGAGTCATAATGTGGCTGAAAGTCCCCACAGGCCATTACACAGGCACATGACATGTAGCAATACTGGCCCCATGTACCTGCTGTCAAGAAAACTCATATTTCCTAAAAAGCTTACAGAACAAAGGGAATGAGTATTTTCTAAGTCTACCTTAACACCTATCCGCAGTATTTCAAATGCAATTTGGATTTGTGTTTTTCCCACCTGCACCTGCCATTTACAAATTAGAAGTATACAAAACAGATCCCCTCTACAGATGCTTAGATTACCAGCACACAAACTCTTCATGTTTCAGGTAGGGCTGAAATATCTAATTTAGATTTTTATATTATGACAAAACACTCCTGCAAGCAAATAACTAAACATGCCACAGTAGTTTACTATTAGCCAGTCATTTGCTGCATGAAAACTGCAAACTTAAGAACTTAACAGCTTTTCTCTCTCATTGGCATGACAGAAATCTAATAAAAGATATTACTACCAAAATAGACACTTAGAGGAATAATGAGAAAGAAGTATGTCCAGTCCATCTTCTACCTATAAGAAAAAGGAACAGGAGCCAGGACAAATAAACCAAACCTCCTCACCTAACTTTCAAACACCAGTAGAGCTGTGACACACTGTCTATTACTCTGGCTAGGCTATGAAAATTAAATGAGGAAATAAATAAAGTCAATAACAACTATGCCTCTGGTTTAGTAACTTTAACAAGGTTGTGGGAAAATCTTTTCTCCTTCCCAGTCTGAATCTCACTACTGACATGAGAGGCAATTCAGCCTAACATGATCAATCAGAGGTAAACAATTTGGATTTTCAACATTCAAGAAAACGGTATCCTATGGAAAATGCAGGGGATGTGCCAAAGATATTCCCTTCCCTATGTAATAAAATAATTGGAGTTAAGGGAGGATGATCAGGTTTCTATAAAACTCATACCAAGTTTTCAAAGACAGTTTAGAGACAAATGAAATGACCATCTGCCCACCTCCCTACAGGAGCACCCCTTGAGAAGCCACTTTACACACAGAAGTCTCTTCAAGAAGGTTAAAGGATCCATGTGATCAAAAATACTCACAGCATATGAGCCTATTAAAAACGCTGCATTCGCTCGCTTCCGCTGGTCAAAACTGGTGTAGTACACAATCTTCTTTCTTGAGAGACTGAAATACTGTTTAAAAGGAAATAAACAAACCAGTGTATTTACTAAGAAAAGAATATGCTTTAAGAATACTTTAGCAAAATCACTTTTCCAAAACTGCAAAACATGTTAGAGAAAATTCTTATCAAGAGGCTCTTAAAGGAGAAAAGATTACTGATACTCTGAACAATCTTCTTATATCCCAGATAAATAAGAGTGCAGGGAAACAGCCACTCTTTCTGGGCAGATCTCTTGGTTAGCAGTACAAAAACATGCTATAAAGTGAAGCTGAACCAAAATCTTCAATATAAAAATCTGTGTGTGTCCCTCCCCGGCCCCAGATTTAAATATCTGAAACACTAGCTTATGAACACTGATTAAAGACATCAAAAATTTCAAACTATAATATCATCCTCTATGTTAAACCTCTTTAGCACATAATTCTGTGGAGAAGACAGAAGAAAAAGTCAAGCAATCAACCTTACAGTCATTCTATAAGTTAAACACTTCCATCCATACCATATTAAAATGAGGCGATGGACATACTTAGAAACCTTCAACAGCAAGAATTTACTTAAAAAGGTAAAAAAAAAAAAGAATAATATTGTATAAAAGAAAAGCCTGAAGGAAAGGCTAGGCAAAGACAAAACTAGTAACACTTGCAATTCTTCCTCCTTTACGAAGAAAAGAAGTCTGTGTCAGAATCCTGTGGACAAAAGTCTCATTGAAAACAAAATCAACAAGCACCAGAAAAGAACAATAATGACAAGCTGCAGCAAAACTGTTTAAAGTCAGAAAGACAATACTGTCACTTAAAAATGGCAAGTTGAACTATTTACTGCACTAGTAATTTTTAAAACTTCATGAATTGCCAGACTTCCATTATACTCTGCTACACCCCTGTATGTTTTTCCAGACCGATTTTTACAGCACTCCTACAGTTTTGAGGAAGTCATCAATAGATAGACTAGATTCTGTTTCTAATTTCTTGAAGCATTTTTCTACTTTTAAAAGTTGCACATCCTATAAAATGCCCCAATTACCAGTGCCATTGTCACCCAATTTCAGGTTTCTGACTCTTGACACTGTTGACTCTTGGGAAGGGGAGATAAAGTAACTGCTGCAGAATAGTGTTTCCTTTGTAGTGCCAACTGTTTCACTCCCAGAAACCTGTCATGTCGAGTCTCCAAAACTTACTGCAAATTTTAGAACAGTTTTAACCAAGAATCAAATTTTAAACAAGAATCAAATTTTCCAAAAAAAATCAAGTATCTGATCACATCAGGAGAAAACTGATGCAGGCACCACAGTGAGTTTGTTACTCCACCCCCCAAGAACAGCACCTTTACTCGCAGTTCCAACTGTACCCTCCAGTCTGGTCTTACAAGCCCCAACTTCCAGAGGTGGAAGGAGCAAGAGCTAATGCAAGTGAGTGTAAATAGGACTGCAATTCCTGCTTACTGTTGATTGGACGAGGTTGTATCTTAAGGCTAACAGCAACATCTCTCTGTGTATAGGCAAACATAGGAAGCACAAGCTGTTACTTAATTAGTGAAACATTCAATTATTATTAAAACTTGAAAAAATGAATGCCAGTACTTTAAGATTCCTCCCTTCTTCCCCCTCCTCAATTTTTTAATTTTAGTGTTCTCTAACTGCAATTCCACCCATGATGTGTAGGTGGGATAAGATTACACTAGTTATGCAACAGTGACAGAACTTCAATTATAACTTATTGACTACTACTTATTTTAAAGCAAAGTTCTTTGCAGCAGTTTACAGTTCACCTAAAACACTATTTTAAACTGCAAAGCTAGCTAGTGAGAATTAAATTCTACATAGTAAAGACCATATTTCTTGTTTTATTTTATAGAATGGATTTTTTAATCATATGGGTATATCAAGTCATTCCAATTTTGAGCCACTTTTGTACCCAAAATAGCCATAACCTGCAGGTTCCAGAATATTTAGATGAAAACAATGGATCATTTTTATTGCATCATTTTCAAAATGTAAAGGTTTAATACTTGTTGTATGAAATATTTCAATGTGTTTTGAATCCCCACTAAAGCTTTAACACAAAATTGAAAACTGACATTAATGCCTTATAGCATACCAAATAGCACAAGTTTTCAAAAGCCTATAAAACAAATAATTGTTTTTATTTGCACACTAGTTACAGAAAAATAAGTTTTACAGTAGGTGTTTGCTCAAGTCTCAATGCAATGCATCTGTTAACATAAACGTGCAGTTTGTCAACTCAGTGCATTTTCATTATCAAAAGTAAACTATATGATCTATTTAAAAAAATACTGATTTTCTGATTGTATTTAATAAGCTACATCTACTCTGGCCAGGTTCAATGATGAGCTTTCACAATAGTTCTGGGAGGTTACTGTTTTTACAGCTCCAGGGCTCCACCTGAATGGATTAGGGCTTTAGTTCCCATAGGCACTGCACAACTCTGAAGAACCAGGAATGTTTCAACAAGGACTTTTTCAATACAGGTCATCTAGGAAATAACTACAGTTGCAAATAACGCAGTTGCCAATAATCTTTTCCTTTCCAGAACAAAACTAAGGTGCACACACTATGAAGTGCTAAAAATATTCTTTACCAGTAAGAAAATTGTATCAGTTTCACACATCATTAAAAGATAAATTTTAACAGCATAACATAACAGTGTCTGTCAAGATATATCCCAAAGGAACATACTGAAAGAATCTTGTGAATTAAAAGCAGAGGTTACACAGAAAGTGGAGCAGTCTTTGCTTTATGTAATAAGACTAATTCATAAGGTGTATGAGAGGGTAACAGAATATTTACTTTCACTGCAGGATTACAGTTTTTCTTTTTTAAAAGTTCCCTGTAGACTTCAAGAGAGATTTACTTGCAGAGAATTGCTGACAGGATTAGAAAGTTTTGTGGGGGACAGTTACCAGATAGCTGTGTAAAATCAACATATTATTTGACATTATTTTATATCGAGGATAAGGTTTAACACAGTTGCACTGCTCAAGCAAGAAATTACCTCAATGTGTTTAATAAGCCTAGATCTCTGCAAATTCTACTTTTATATATATACAGGTGTACATATAGGTAACATGTACTTGCAAATAGACATGAATACAAGATTGGCAAGCTTAATACTAAACAATTAATTGAAATGTGTGCATACAACCCTGCCTCAAAATCTAGGCTGTCCTAAATGAGATGCTTTGCAGTTACTATAGTTCCATGTGTCTGTCCAGCAGTTTATTTATTTATAATAAAACAAAAAATAAGCCAAATCCCTCTCTGATTCAGCAGCAATACAGCTACCATACAAAAATTTTGTTAACCCCATAGTTTATAAGCCTGCCAGTACCTTTCCTCTCCTGCCTTTGATCTTCAATACTTGTACCATTTATATCAGCAACAATCCCTGATCACTTCTGCTCTTTAATTTATTGAGAATGTGTAAGGCTATGCACAGATAAAAAACAACAGTTTTTTAAAAGCAGTTTTCATGACATCAGGCTTATTTAAAAACAAAAAAAATTTCTTTCCTAAATGAAGGCCAGCTGCTTAGTCAAGTGTTTTCTGCCCTGAACAGAATTCAAAGTAGGACGATAGCACAGACAAGTTTTTCCTTGCTGCTGACTTGGATGATGAAAATCATCTTCACACCAATCAACAACTGAAAAATTACAAACACAACAAGATCAAAAAGGTTTTCCTGAAAGGCACAGCCGAGACTTTGCCTCAAATTTTCTACAAATGGATATATGAATAAATTCTTCGCTTCTTTAGAACAGAGGTATTTACTGGTCTTAAAAAAATCAGTTAGCATAAAATTACAACAGTTTACTTTAAAATGTTAATCTGCCATTAGCACACTTCAAACCAGTATCCTTCTTCCTCACCAGTCCCCCATGAAAGGAGGGGGGAAAGCAGAATACTGCCTCATGTCAAACTTCTGTCCCAAAACAGAAACAGATATAGCTGAAAGATTTGAAAGGGAAGCTTGTGGGGCTTTCTTGTTTTAATGAGATCTTATCCTTTCATTTCTCCTGTGCCTAGTCAAAGAAGTTTTAAAATTAAATTAACCTAGGTCTTAAATTTGCGACACCATATCCATACCAAAACCCTCACGTTTGTGAATAATCTTTTTGTGCTATACTTTGACTCTTTTCTGAAGAAAAGTACATATAGTGCTTACCCAACCAAGCACACCAAATCATCTAGGTTTAAGCACTATGATTGTTTCAGGGTCCAAAAAGTGTTGCAGAGTGGCAATAGCAAGCATCCCATGACAATCTGCAGACTCTTTTACTTCCTATGATCAAAAAACTCCTGCAGCTGGTCACAGGGCACCCTTAAGGTAAAGGTGTGCAAGCAGCAGTTTCCCAGCAGGGCTCTCTCTCTCTGTCCTTAGTCCAATCTGCACTTCCCATCTCTGAAACACTCATCCCAGGCTGCTCACACATCACCCGGTGCCACATGACAATCACCACACTTTTGCTGCTGTAGGGCAGGTAAGGTACAGGTCAGGAACTTGTGAACACTAGTTCAGGCCCCAGAACTCCTCCTGAGGACATGTGTGAAGGACACACACAAGAAGATGAGGTGTAGAAATGGTGACTAATTCTTGCCTGGGGAAGCTGAGCAGCAGTCACTGTAGGCAGGCCTACAGTCCACAGCAGATGCACTCCTCTGAGGCACATAAATACAAATGCAGAGGCAGGCTTCAGCCCTAGGTCTGTCTTACAAGCCTACTTATCCACTGCACATGGCATCTAAATTAGGAGAGTGTGGCACAAACTACTAGAAGTGGTTTCTATACCACTCTGGCAGTACTCCAAGCTTTAGCTGTTTGATTCCAGGTATTACTTTCAAGTGGTTGCACTATCAGGTTACCCTTCTCTCTTAAGCACTAGGAGTTTAATTTAACCTATTTGGACTTAGCCTCTGGCAAGCCAGAAGCAACAAACAGCATACTTCCTCCCAGTGGAGACCTGCAGTTTCTTATTATTTAAATATTATTTGTGCCCCTAGAAATAATGTAATTTTCAATAAAGAAAATATTTTGGTCCTGGCCAGCAGTACCCTTCACCCTGCAGTGCAAGTATATTCACTTGTCTCAAAAGTTAGAAAAGTTACATTAAAATTGACATTACAGTTTGCTAAACCAACCCTGCAAATATCAGGGTTAATAGTTCCTATTAAAAGAGTTAATTTAGCTCCTTTGTTTTTTTCCCATCATAATATCCAGTCTTCATCACCACGCTTATACAACACTTCTGACGATTCACTTGCCTCATTGAAGGAGCAAGACAATGGTCTTAGAACAAGAATAAAGACTGCAGACACATTCCTGTTTAATACTGAACCATTTAAAAAACCCTGAAATATTTATTAGTTACACATTTATTTTCTGGGTGAAACTCCTGGTACCTAGGTTCAAGATTGAAGACAGAAAGTAATATATGAGACTGTATTAAGGTCCCAAACTGATCACAGTCACAATCTGAATCTGAAAAAGACAGAACTGATCTCCCTAGTTCCCATGGGCACAGTGAAGTTAGAATAGTAGGTTGATTACTGGTTCTCCTCTGGAGAAACTGCTTCACAGAGCAAGCACGGTCCAATTTTTAATATCACAAATACAAGAGCACAAACAGCAGAATTAAGGTGAAAAAAATAGATTCTTACTTGAGTAAGAATCATTGGTCACATGTCCGAATGGGATAGTGGCACAGCAAAATAGGGTGATAATGTATTTCTAAGGTGACTGGTGTTATCAAATGGCATCTCCAACTCTTCCCCAATATGAGCACGGCATTCAAAATTACAAACAGTAGAGATTAACTTTTTATAAGTATATTTTTAAAGTAAGAAGCAATGTAAATTTTCACTAAAAGCACTTCTTTTTTTCAAGAAATATGCAGCAACTCTACAAGCTCTTCAGTTTGCAGAAACTTCACTTAAGAATTCAGAGTTCAGCACACCCCTGAAAGAAGCAGGTAGCATGAATCAACTTAACTAAAGGTTTCATTTGTGCCCCTAGAAATAATGTCATTTTCAATAAAGAACCCTCTTAACAGAGGCCAAAACAATCACATCTGTTGTCCCATTTCCTTTTGTCAGTAACAGATCTAATATTTTATACGAAAAAAGATTTTACATCTGTAATATTTAGTAAAGGGTCTCCTCATTATTTGCCCACAAGTTATATTAATCAGCATTTTGGAATTAAAACATCTGCTTCATTTCTTGCAGTTGACAGATTTTCTATACTGCAAATCACTTCATTATAGGTATTTGGAGAAAGTGAAGTCTGCAACTCTACATATGTTCAGAGGGTCTGGCTGGGATGGAGCTGGGATTTAGGCACAGCAGCCAGTGTGATGTTGTGATTTAGATTTGTCATCAAACCTGTGTTGATAACACACCCATGTTTCATCTGCTGCCAAGCAGTGTTCTCATAGTCCCAAGGCCTTCTGTTTCTCTCTCTGCCCCTGACCTGTTTTCCACTGAGACTTACTTTCAACAGTGGGATTTCGGGGCCAGCATACACACTTCATTAGCTGCAAACCCCTGACACAACCAGGAGCTTTTGTTACTATTGTCTTGAAAGTGTTAAGGTTATGCAAAAAGAGGAACACAGACTTCAGTCACCTGCCTCACCTCTTAAGCTGAAATGAGAGCATATTATTTTCTTTCACTCTTCAGAGGAGAAAAAACTCAGAACAAAGAATATCCTTAAAGTGTAGCAATAACCACCTGGCTAGTGAGCGCCCAACAAGTACTTTCAAACTGGCTAATTTTATTTCAATTTGAAAATACAAAAATAGAAGAACACTGTTTTTAAACTAAGCTTACCTTTAATTTCTTATTTAGTTTACAGCAGTATCTGTATAACATTGCCAAATTTAAGGGTCCAAAATCTCCATAGAAACTGTAAAAAAAACACAAAACAGAATTATTTATACAAAAGAGCTAAGCAAATTTCAACATGCATGTTGTTGATAAATGGAGCTGGAAATCAAGGACACTAAGTAGCCAATGCACATAGAAAAACAGTTAAGTCCTTTATTGATTAATTTAAAATGACAATAGTAACAATTAATTTAAAGTTTTTTGTAGCTTCAATTTAAAATAGTCCAGTAACTACTTTTCCCATTATATATACATGCTAACTACAGATTTTTTTTCTTCATCCCATGATATCCAGTCTGGTTTTGGCCAGAACCACAGAGTGAAGACTTGAAGACATGATATATATTTAAACCATGCCTGATATCTATCCTAAAGATTCTACAACTGCTTAAGATGATACTATATTACCTACTATCAAGAATAAGCTAAACAGAATTTCTTATGGGTGATAAAATTTATTTAATAACATGCAGTCTTGATCTCTGTCTGAAGTTTAAACTCATTTATTTATATCCCTTTCTTCAATATTCCAGAGATTAGGTATTACATACATACTTAACATCTAATTATGTTTCTTTTTGTCCTCCAAATCCTCTTGCCTCTAGGCTGTTCTTCCAATTTATTATATATTTAATGTTCTAAATATCAATTTCTCATTGTTCTTGTTTCTCTCTTCTGCATTTATAAACTGTGTTACCTTTGAACAACAATCTCTGGCAGTAATTTGTACAGGAAAATCATTGCACAACAGGAGTTCCTTGTAGTGATTCCCAGTGCTCTTCCTAGCAAACCCTCTATGTAGGCACCTATACAAATAACAGCAGCCTTTATGCAAGAAACTTACAGCAACCTCTTCTAGAACTCCCTCTCCATCAATTGTGCAAAACCAGTCAAAATTTAACCTGCAGACTTCCTCCCGTAATTCTCCTGTTGTGTATAAAAATCTTAATGGTCTATGTAAATTTGTTCAAGCACACATTAGGAATTGTAGTGAGAATGGACTACTACTTAAACTGCTTCACTCTGATTTACATTAAGTTTTTTTGATAAAAGAGACAGGAAGCTTCTTGCTTACTGACAAACAAAACAAGCCACTGGCATCTGAATACATTCTATTGGGGACTCACAAAGGAAAAAGCTGCTCTGGACTTACAGTCTTTGAAGGAGTAAAAAGGTACTTAAATTACATGATAGAATAGATGGCAGTACCTATCAAGCTTTCTCTCCCCTGGAAAAGCGGTTATTTTTCAGGAAAACTAATTAGATTTCAGCTGAACATAAAAAGAAAACTTCCACTTTGAGGGCAATCAAACACTGGGAAGCAATTGCACAGAGAAATTGTAAAGTCACAACCAAATTGAGCAGGTTGTTCAGATTCTTGTACTTGTCAACCTTGCTTTGGGCCCATGGTGCATTACACATCTGCAGAGGTGCCTTCTGCTTCACCTATTCTGCACAGACACAAAAACAAATTAGGAGTGCTTATAACATCACCGATATCCTCCTCCCCACATTCTCTCAAACAAGAAAGTCAAGACCAGTGCAAAAAGAGACAATCATATTAGTTTAATCACTCTCTAAGACAAGTAGCCTTCCTGCCACAGCAATGCTATTTCAGTATCACCTACTTCACAATATCAAGTAACAACACAAGTGCTGGTTAAGATTCAGTTCAGCACAAAACATTATGATGTAATTACAGAAGCTAATTAGCTGGGAAAAAAACCACATTGTCCAACTACTACAACTTAATTTTTAGGTAGGACAGAAGTTAACTAAACCAAGAGAAAACTGCAGCCCCATGATCAAGTCATACATCCAATTCTACTTTTCCACATTATTAAATTTGAACAGCAGTGTAGGAAAAATACATGAAGATCCATTTACAAATTTATCCACAAGACAAATTACTATTTTGGTGGGTATAAGGATAAATTACGATTGAGTCTGTCCGGAAAGTAATTGTCTTTCTACAAAACTAAGCCATTCAGCTTCTCACAGCCCCCAAGTTAAAGACGTCACCATCTTTGACTATTTCTCCATCACTGACTACCATTAAGAATCTTGTGCTTCTCTTAACACAATGGAGTAGGGGGTAGAAGTGTTTGTGTCTAAAACTCTGGTACTACCCCCTCTTTTTCTACACTGCAGAAACAAAATATTTCTCAGAATACAAACACAACCAAAGGAAAGGCACTTGCAGTCCCTGCTGCATCAGCATTACTACCCATACACGAAACCACTGTCAATTCCCAAGCTATTTCCCTACTACCACAGAGGCAGTATAAACCAGCTATTGTCTTTGCTGATAAAACACTGATTGAAATGCGAGGCAGAAAGTTAAAATATTGCATGTAACATAACCTTTTTCCATTTTATACCTCTAAATTGGAGTAAGTTAATTATCCTTTCTTTGATGGGGCTAAGTGAAACAAGTGCTTTACAAATCTTCAAATCAGAAGAGAGAAGAGTTTTTGAATGATAATACAAGGCTCTGTACTGAAGTCAATGAACTCTGATCTAGAGAATCTTCAATTTACATCCCTAGGCCTAAATACAGTTTCTGACATGTTTAAGCAGAAGGATTTAATCCTACTCACCCTCATTTACTTTTTCTACAAAAGGCCATTTTTATACTTGAATTAGTGACACTTGATCCTGCTTCACCCAAAGGATTTTCATCTCAAGACCAGAATTTTAAGTAAATATAAGTGGAAGATGGGAAATGGGCAGGGTATAGAGAATGGGAATGAAATGACACACCAACTCACCAGCTGAATAAAAAATTTCATTTGGCAAAAACTGTAGATCAACGTAAGAAAAGGCAAATAGTCACTGACAACAATTCATCCAATATTTTACTTCCATCTCTTTTACATCTAGATGTTTTAACAAAGCATTGAAAAAGAGTAAGAGAAATTGGAATGCCTCTGAAGCTTAAGCTAGTTAAGAGAGACAGTTATTTACAACAGAGGTGGAAACCAGAGGAACAGAAGGCAGATATGCTATTAATTACATTTTGCTTTAATCAAGTACCTAGATGATACTTTAAATTATTCTCCCCCATCATTCCATGGGGACTTACTATCCTAATGCTTCTCAAAGCAACTAATGAAATCCCAGAATATACTAGCTGAACATTTAAATACTCTATTTCAAAAATGCTGTTATGATGCCACATGGAAGCAGTAGTATAAGCTTCTGGTACCTGTTTTCTCCTTACAGTAAACTCCTAGAACCATTTCTTCCTACCTGTAATTTGTTGCAGTATTACATCTGAGGCATTTGCTGTACTGCATCATAGCAATGGTCATCCCCCTAGAAAGGCCAGCCCATTGCTCTGCTCTGTCACACAAACAGTTACTGTAAATTCTTCCAGGGAATTTAACAATGAAGGAAATACAGCCCACATCCCTCTAGCAAGAAGTTTCCAACTGCAGTTCCATGGGATGCCACATGAAGGTGCCACGAGTCAGCTCAAGCTTGAACCAGCACTTCTGAAAGCAAACACCACTTTTTGCTAAGCATTTGAATCTCTCTGACCCTTGTGCTGGAGAAAAACGATGAACAGATTTCCCATCCTGAATGATTAGATGGTGCCATTCACTGAAGGAATATTATAGCCTAGCAGACTTTTAACTGAATTGATGACCTCCAGAGAATCATACAGTATGCTGAGGTCCCTTTCTGTGGTGTTGCCCTCTGGCCTCTCATTCCCCAGTCTGCCCCTACATCCAGGGCTGTCCCATTCCAGGTGAGCAATCTGGCATTTGCCCTTGCTGAATTTCATACAGTTGGTGCTTGTCCATCTCCCTAATTTGTTAAGGTCCATATTAGCCTCAGTCAATCTATCAGGCCAGGATATCATCTTTCAAAAATAAAATGCATTATTTATACTTTACTCCAGATGCCTGATACTTTTTCCCTACAAAGCAGTAGTTTTATACTGCCACTCACTTCCCATCAGGGCATGATGTTTCTTGTTTGCCACCTTATTCAGTCATTGGTTTAGTAACTAAAAAACAGAGGCACTATTTAATAACTGCAATCATTTTCTGGAGTACATAACCCAGAATTGGAGCACAAAGTACAAGTATACTCACTAAACTATGAATTTTGCTTTCTTGAAGACTTGCAATCATATAAAGCCGCTTTTCTGCCAAAACAGGAGCTCCTCGAGGTTGCAATTACATAAGCCAAAAGATAAAACCCAAGAACCTGGCGAAATAACAAAAATACAGCTCCCTAATTGCAAAACTTGGCTAACTCTTCAACATTTTATAAATGTTCAGCTTCTATTAAAATTAAGCAAGGAGACTGTTTCTCTTATTGTGATTCATTCTTCTGTTGCTCCTCCTCGCTCTTTCCTATGCAGGAACATCCAGGTTAGGACCCTTCAAGGGCCTTACTGCATCTGTTCTGAGCCTGCCTATTTAACAGCACAAGGCCCACGTGCTGCACAAGTGGCCACCTGACTATTCACCTGCTTGCTTCAAATCATAAGCTGAACACTTCTCACATGCAATAATCTCTCTGGATGAGAGAGGATCAGTCTGCACATTCATTACAACCTAACTGCTGGTTGGGAAATCTTACCTATTCAGGCTTTTTCTCCAACTCCAGTTTCCTGAAGTGTGTTTTTCCTCCCCACTTCTCAAGCACATGAAGAAAGGTGATCACTGTTTTTGTCCTCTGATTCCAGTAACACGTGAATTGTTAGGAGCTTCTTTAATTGGGCCAGGACAGAATTCCTAATGCTTAATGCTACTTAGGGATCGTGTGCTTCTGAACAGACCAAGGATGATACAGCAAATATAATCCTGGAAATACCTCAAAGAGGAACAGTGCCCTGGATTATGCAAAAAATCTCCAGGTATTAAGTCCATTTCCTCTTGGAAGTTCCAAATCCTCCTCAAGATCCTGATTCTTCAAAATCCAACAACTCACAGATCTGAGTCACAGATAATTAAAACAGTTATTCCAGATACACAATTTTTTAATCCAGTGCTCCTTGATATCAAAAACAAATTAACAATTAAGAGGCTTTCCCATAAAAAGTTGCCGTATAGAACCTTCAGGTCATATCAGAAGCCTAGTCCCTTTGGGAAAGAAATCATCTTGACAGAGGCCAAGATGCACGTGAGGGATTTCCTAGACAAGCTACATTCCCATCCAACATAAAAACTGGAGCTTGAAAAGCTGCTGGTTTATCCTGGCAGCCTTTAACTGCAAACAAAAGAAAAATCTCCTCTATACTACTGGCAAATGCTTTTATCTTTTACTTATGAAAAAGCAAAGACAGATATGGTAAAGCAATGTAAAATTAAGCTAGGAAATTTCTTTGTTTTAATTTTGGACTTAATCTTACTCAGTTGTCTTGGTCATCCAATAGTCAAGGTCAAGTCTTCAAAATTACTGATGCGAATTGCTTTCTGTGTGAAGTGACAGCTCTGATTGTTGTAACAAGGCTAAATTTAAGTTTTCTTTTTCCTTTCCAGTGATTTAAGCCACAGAAAGATTGAGAAGTTCAGGTTCCCTATGCAAGTGCTGTTATTGGAGAGTCACAGAAAAGCAGCATTTAACCAAAGCCAAACAGGACAGGCTAACACTTACTCTTCTCACAGGAAAGACAAACTGTTTCTTTGCATATACACATGCAGTAGAAGAAACAGTACTCATTTAATATTGTTGTAGCTAAGCACTTGAGAGTCTTGCTCTACTGCTACATAACTGAAGTAGCTCTCATGCTCATTCATGCTGTGAAATGGGCAAGTAACATACCATAGCTTGAAAGAATGTTTCAGTGCAAAGCATGATTTACAGAGACTATCGTATTTACTACTTCTATTGCTGCTTACAACATGTCAGAGATTATATCTGCAAAAGCTGTTTATACAAGAGATCCAAAGTCAGAACAAATGACTGAACAAATCCATTATGATTTATGAAGGCCATTAAAATTCATCAGTATGAGATTCTTGTTTCACAGCATTTAAATTCTTTGTTTGAGAAAACTACCCAGAAATAAAAAGGGCATTAAAAGTTGCTTTGATAAAACTATGTGAAAGCCAAGTTAACCAGTCAAGTGTAGTATTCTCAACCCAGATCTGCTTACTGGAAGGTGAAACGTGAAAGATGCTATTCTTAGAGAATAAAAAGCTTCTTACTAGTGCCTAACTCATTAACTGAGGTCCTGCCAAGGCAAGGTTTGTCTATTTGCCAAATGGCAATCTTCATCAACATGGGTTGTTTCTCATTAACTCCATTTTTCTGAAGCAATAGTTACCTGTACTACACTACCCTGAAAGACTGTACTCCCTTATAAGAAGTAGTGCAGACTTTCTTAGAAGAAACCTCAGACAGTTCCAGAAAGACTCTGAAAAAATCTTACAGGAACAGAACTATCAAAGAAGAGATTTCAGAATTGTATCATTCCATTCAGGTTTCTTGTTCTCTTAACTGAGGCATTTGTGTATAATTTCTCTGGCATGATAGGTTCAAGGGTAAATTGCAGCACTTTAGTTGAAAGTAATGACAGTTCTAGTAGCAAGTTCCTAGTCTGCTAGCATTTAAGATAGGCTTAAATGGTTATAAGAACATCTTCATTATCTTTTTAGTGTGAATGTTTAAGTTAGACAGTATTATGAAGTTATTAGAACAGCTGAAAACGTCAAGTGAGAACTGAAGGCTAAAGTGCTCAAGATTATATAACCACACTTGGTGTATAATTAAATCATGTGACAAGGTACAGGAGCAAGTCAACCCTAAACTTCCCAAACCATCAGATAGAGCACTACAGCTCTTTTGTTTAATAAATGGGGTATAGTACTAATATAAAAATTGCTTTCTTACGGCTCTTCAAGAGTGGGAAAAAAAAAAAAAAAGGGAAACAAGATAGTGAGTTTTTAAGTATTACATGATCCAGTAACAGGCTCTCTGTAATCAGGCAACTCCAACCCTACATATTCATGAGTTTTCAGATCAGATACTGCTTCAGTGAAGCAAACTGACACCACTGTAAAGTCAGCCAAATAAAATTCTGTAACAGGCTGACAGAATAAGAGCCCAAAGAAAAGCAATTTAAACAGAAAAAAATAACAGAAAGACAAGCAGTTTACTTTCAAGCACAGTGAAGTATCTTTGTCTTGTCATTACAATGATGTATCTAAGCAAAGTTAAATCAATAAACAATTTTATTAATGCAATTACTTATACACCTTGAGCAGACATCTCCTATCCACCTCCTGAAAACTCTCTGAACAAGTCATTTGATTGAAAAGGAAAAGTGGCTGTGGAATTCTGACCACAAGAACCACCCAAGGAGGCCATTTCAATGAGGATTCTGCAAACCACTGTTCTGAGCTACAATGTTACAGAATTTCAAAATTCACTTCCAAATATTTACTTTGCTATTATGCAACAAATACTTATAATCACTTTATCAGAAAGAAGATTGCATTTTTGAGGAAGTGAGGAGACCATCTGATCTGTTGTACTAAAGTTACACTCTACTACTACTTGCAGAGAAACCCTGTCAGGCCCCTCACTTTGTTTTGTGTGCAGCCTGGGACACACAAGTGACTGATGTCAAGCTTGTTGATAAGCATAAAGGAAGCCATAGTAAAATCAGCACTTCCCCAAGAACTGAGTCTTGCATTCTGCTCCTCAACTTACCTTTAGCCTTCCAAATTCAGAAAGATATTAAAAATACACATAACATGTAACCCTACTGACACTTACTTTTACTTCCCTGGGACTATATAAATCTCCTCAGATATGAGAGGGCAAAAAAAAAAAAAAAATTTAGATCAGGCATTACCAAATATTGCATACACTGATAGGGATGGGTGCTGCAATACCAATACCAGGGGAAAGTTTAGCAATGGTATGTAAAAGGTTATTACACAATTCCTTGGTACCACCTGGTAACTGTCACTCATTTTCATATGACATTTCAGCATTTTATGAGCACAAAAGGGAGAATATCTTTATGGAATCAGATACAGGACAACAACTTTAAAATGGGCCAAACAGATTAGGAACCATCAATTCAGACCATACCTCAGGAGTTACGTGTTCAAAGTCTTTAGATGTGTCCTAGAAGATAAAGGAAACTTTGCTTCCTTCCATTACCCAGTAATTATATCTGGTATCAGGTTACACCTTCATAGGTAGTTAACACTGGGTCAAGGAATATACCTATAGAATTTCCTTTACATGTTAAAGAAAATTACTTCCCTCTCAAATTAACACCCTCTCAAATGTCTCAGTACTTTTTTTTTTTTTTTTAATATGACAGTGTCCTTACACAAATGCTTCAGTTACAGGCCTTGGTTAGTACAACCATTTGTAACTAACAGTACAGAACTGCTCCCCCTTCCTACCCACAAAATCCTTCATACTTCCACATAAGAGTCCTTCCCACTTCCTAAAAGCACATTAAGAAATAAAACATAATACTAAAGTCTGGAAGAGATACAAGTTTCCTTTCTTAAAGCAAGCGGAACACTTTCACACCACACAAATTGCTCAGGACCTTCCTCAGTTGAGTTCTGCTCTCAGTATTAGTATACTCCAAAAGTCCCTTCCAATCATAATTCCTTAAGGACCATTAAAGAACTTACTCCCAACCCAAGCAGACCGTTACAAAAATCAACTTTCAGAATGAACCATTGGGAACTCCAGTAGAAGACACACAGCTTAAGATAAGAAAACGGATAGAAAATATATCCTGAAACTACAAGCTGTGCAAAGAAAGTAAGCTAAAAGCCAAGGAATGTTGGTTTACATCTTCACAGAAGCAGTACTGCTCACTGGCGAAAGGAGGGAAGAATGGCTGATGCTCACAATTGCTTCAAACCATTTAGGAAAAAAGTTATGCTTAAAATAGGAACATACTTTTTGTTTCACTTCTGCTGCAGCAAACGCTGTGTCAAGCAGGTAGGTATATATTATCACACAGGGAACAGTTGATCTTGAAATACAGTCCAAAGCAGCAAGGTTTTAGCCACAGCACAGAGTGATTACTTTGTCTGATGTTTTTTATGTCCTTAAATAGTATTCACAACTATAATCAGTTTTATTTTTTACCTTCTATGTGAAGTCAGTGTCTTACAAACATGAACTTTTTACATCGCAGAAAATATTTGTTTTGCTGTTCTAAAGATACAAAAGCCAACAAGAAGTGCTATCTCAAAATAGCTCTAATAAATAAATAGCTCTAATAAAACCAGAGTTACAAAAGAAGTTGCAGATGCTCTTCAAGAGCACATTTAAACATTGCATCCTCATGATTCTGTAAACTCCATACACTCTAGACAGGAAAATACAGGAAATATAAAACAAACTACTGTTTATCTATTCGTGCCAAATAAGTCTTCTATTTAAGACAGCATTCAATTAAGTGCGATTAGTCCAAATAGACCTCCATGTTTTAAACACATCTTACACAGCTCAGATATCCTTCTTCGAGCTCAACCACGATTTAAGCCATTTAACTGGCCTTGCAGTTTTTATGGGTCTTTTTATTAAGTCACCTTGTTAAATTAGTTTCAGCTAATAAATAAATACATTCGGACTAACTTCATGCTCATAGTCTATGCAAGTAACCCAATGGGGCAAAAATACTCTACAAAATGTATGTCTGTTGGGGAGACTCTCAGGTGATCACTTCGAATATGCAAACTACACTTACTTTTCATAGACCAGCTCCTCATCGGTACAGAAGTAGTGGGTATTTACGGTACTTTTCGGTTTAGTTCGTAAAGTAGCGAAGTACAACCGATCTGAAAGACAGATTTAGAGGCACAGTGTCGGACAGCGAAGGCGGCCGGCCGCCGCCTCGGGGCACGCCTGTCACCGCGGGGCGGAAGAGGCTCCGCCGCTCCTTTTTCTGCTGCGTGAGCGGCGGCGGGAGCGTCCGGACCGCTCCGCCCGCGGGCCCTGCCCCTGCCGGACCCCCGCGCTCCCGAGAGCCCCTCGGCAGCAGCCCCGGCCCAGCGAGCAGCGCGCAGCAACAGGTGCCGGGAGCGCGGGGAGAGCAGCGCCGGGGTGCCCGCGGCTGCCGGGGCGGGCAGCCCGCGAAACCAGCCGGGCAAAGGGGCCGCGGCCGCGCCGGGCAGGCAGCAAAGCCGGGGAAGGGCGGTAGCGAACCCAGCGAGTTTCCTCGCTAGGGGAGGCTCCGGGACCCCGCGGGCAGGGGATGGGGCGGCTCCCGCCCCGCTCTCACCTTTCACGAACTCCGAGGCTCCCCCCAGCACTTCGGAGGCGGCCGCCGCCGGCTCCATCTTAAAGAGAGCGCGGAGTAAGGAGGCGCGGGGCGGCTCCGAGCTCATGGCGCTCCGGGGCAGCGCCGGCGGGGCCGGGGCGCGCTCGCAGGGACGCGACCCGCTGCCCGGAGGGGCCGCCCGCCAGGGCCCACGGTACTGCGAGCGCGGCGGCCGCAACCCACATAGGAGCGGAGCCGAGAACGAGCCCCGGGACACGCCGGGCAAGCGCCCGCAGAGACTCCAGCTCCACCCCGCCCCCAGCCAGGAGACGCCCCCGGATAAAGCGGCAGCGGGCGGTTACCAGGCGACCGGCGGCGCTCTGGCAACCGCGTTACGGAGCCTTTGTGTCGCCCGGCCCAAGGCTGACGCTGCGAGTGACCGGCCCCCGCGCTCCCCCCGCTCCCCGGCCCGGCAGCGCCCCTGCTCCGCCAGGCAGCGGCCCTGAACCCGGCACCGCCCCGCCCTCCGCCCCGCCTGCCCGGGCAGCGCCGCTGCGCCCCGCTGCGCTGGGGCTGCTTTTCCTCGCCTGGAGGCGGCCCGTGCCGGAGCGCCCCACGGGCAGCGGGCGGGTGTCGCGTACAGCTCGGAGCGGGGCTGAGCCCGAGCGCTGTCTGAGCAGCGCGGCCGGAGTGGCGGGGCCGCCTCAGGAGCGGGGGAACCGGCGGATCGCCCGTTGCGCTACCTGGGACACCCTTTGTCCTGACAGACAGGTCGGTTGACCAATCAGAGGCCGCCCTGGTAGGCCTCCAGCCAATGAGGTGGCGGCGCCCCGGGGCGCGCCCCGCCCCAGGCCCCCCGCGGCAGCCGCTTCCCTCCCGGGCGGTGGCGGCCGCCGTCGGGCGCGGGGCTGGAGGGGCTGGAGCCGCCTGGGAGCGGCGGGGGAGCCGCGCCGTTCTTCTGACGTGCTGGTTCGAGCGCTGGACGCGCTCTTCCGCCTCTCCCGTTTAGAAGAAATTGGTAAGTGCCAAACGGGGCAGACTGTCCGTCTCAGTTTTACGACTGAAGCAAAGGTCGCAACGGAGAGGTTCCTTGAAGACCGAAAAAAAAGGGGGTTAAAAAGTCACTCTTCCCCGTAACAAGCAAAAAATCCACTTTTGAAACACCTTTAAAAGATGTTGTAATACAAAGCCATATGCAGCCCTGAGGTTCACATTTGTATCACCAGCTTTCCCTAACACTATAAATAACCTACTGTAACCAGCAGTGCATACAATTAATCCTGGTGTGTCTGCTAATGAGGCTAAACATGAGTGTGAAACACTTGTGACTCTTCAGTTTTTAATCTGGTGTCATAAGCACTGGATAATCTTTAAAGCTTTACAAATAAAGTGAAGGACTACAGAAGACACTGCAGCTGTTTTGTATTTGCTTAATTTTTGTGTTGATTCTAATTCTTTGTACCTATATTCTTACACTGCTTTTTTTCCAACTTTTTTGGAAAAGCTCCATAACTAATGTGCTAAATATGACCCTGTTTGTGCCTGATTCTGAAGCCTGAGAAAACCTCATTTTCAGTAGTAAGCACTATTCCACACAAGATAGGAGAGTGAGACTGCAGTCTTATGTAGCAGCAAATTAAATAAAGGTTGTTGGAGGGTAGTTCCTTTTTACGGAAATCAGTGTTTATTTTGATTTAGATTGTTCTTTACAACTTTCATTTGTGCATAACCCTTAACAAAATCAAGTATTTCACTGGTGTTTTTTAATTTACAAGCAATTCCCTGAGGGGTACTGTCTAAGAGACAGGGTATCAAGGTATATTGTCCAGAACTGCAGGGTTTTTTATGCCCATTTTTACTCAGTCTTTCACTACAGTTTGATGTAACACATTTCTAAATCAGTGCTGCACTCTGCTTAAAGGGAGTTTGAATGAGCAGACTAGAAATGGCTTTAGCAACACCCTTGGGCAACAGAAGGAAAGATGGAACAGTCTACAGGCTACTTATAGCATCTGTAGAAACAGTTTGTGTTAAAGCCTGAGATATGTAAACACATCCAGCTGGACTGGTGAATCTAGGAGGCAAATACTACTACATACTGAAGCCCAGCTGTCAAATGCTTATATACTGCTTATATGACTTGTGCAAAGCTAAAACTACAGTTTTCATCATAGAAAAGTTCTCATTTGTGGCAATTAGCTGCAGCCTTTGTAATCATCAGAAATAAACTAACATTTCTTTTCTTCCCTGTAAAAATACGTGCAAAATAACCTCTGTTTTTTCAATTCCAGTAGTATGTCATAGCTATTAGTATGATTATTTCATGAATGTCACTTTGTAAAATGCTATCTTTAAGAATATTGTAAACTAGTACAACTTAGTTACTCTAATCAAGACTACGTACTCATTTTAACATTTGAGATCAAATATCAAGGCTGCAGTGACATCTTGTGGCATATTTCTGTAAAGAAGCAATTTTCTTGTGCATTTTAGCACTATATCCTGATTTTTTTAATCACAGATTTTTTTTAACATATATTTTAGATACCATATTTAAAATCCTGTGTTGCATTAACAGTAATTTCAACAGAACATTCAGAAGTGGTAATGATTCCGTTTAGATTCCAAAACATTACTAAATGAAATAGATAATATCTCATAGAAATAATCATATGCATACTATTTTGCTTAAAATATAATTTTTTGGTAATGTATTTTCAGTAAAGAATCTGAAGACATTTTTATAACTACCAAGAGATAAAATCCACTTAAAAAAAAAAAAAAAAGCAAAGAACCCCTTTTGGTCCCAAAGTACAATGAATTATGGCTGGAGCTTAAGTCTTATCGTTGTATTTTCTTTGCTAGCTAAGATTAAATTAATAAACCTCTTGGTTATTTTATGCGTTTTCTTCCTTCATAAGTAGGCCTTACCTAAATTAAATGAATGTATGTTCCAACAAGTACACATTTTTTTAAAAAAAGAAACTTTGGTGCTTCTCATGAGTATGTAAACATTAGACATCTTAACACTAAAAATTTTGGTCAATAATCTGAAAATAAACACATCACAAGTCTGCTTTCTGTATTTTATTTCACAATGTTGCAAATTAAATTTAACAGTATAATTAAAAGCTTGTTCTATTAATTCTTTCACTGATACAGAAGAAACCAAAACAACTCCTTTGCTCCAAGAGAAGCCCAGTTCATTTCACATTTCAAAAATAAGGTTAACAACTGTGAGTCTTCACAACTCTGGTTGATACTGCACAGAACAGAAATTATGGAAATTTGCATTTCCAGAAAGATCATAGACCTGTTTGTATACTACTTAGCACTACAGCACAATAATTAAAAACTACTTTTCACTATTACAACAAAATTAAGCAGACTTTACATTGCCATGTTAAGATTCTGCCCTTTAAATGTTACGAAAGTTCTAGGAAGACTTCACTGAACAGAAAGCAAATCCTTTAATACCAATAGAACAAGGCAAAAGATTACTTAATTTCCCCCAAAGACTCACACCCTGCTGTAAAGAATTTGTCATATTTTTCACTCTTAGTTCAGCTCACTTATTACAAAAATGACAGAATTATATACCATTTGTGCAGATGCTATTTGTGTAGTAGGTATTAGCTGTGACTGGTTGCCCACAGCTACCTTTGAACTGATTCTAAGAATCAATTAAAAGCTGCTGCAGATGAAACTAAATCTGCTTTGGATGCCAAATCTGATTCTGTGACCCAGGAAAATCACTGTCTTTTGTTCTCTCCTCTATACCACAAAAAAAAAAAAAAAAAAAAAAAAAAAGCCCAACCTTTCTGCAATTTCATTGGTAAAGGTTTGCCCTGTCTATGTCAATAGAAGGTTTCCAGAATTACAGAGTCCCAGTCCAACAAATGCCATTTAACAGCAGCTCTGTTTCTTGCTGTAAATAAAGTTGGGGAATTCAGAGACTGATAACAGTCCGTTCCTGTCAAATATCACTGTACCTTAAAATACTTTTTTTTCATAATGCTTTACCAATTTATTGTACATTTTAACTCTGTTGTCATAGCCACCAAAAATCAGAGGAAACAAGGAACTAAAAAATAAATACTCATTGAAAGAGTACCTAAAAAACCAGTAGACCTGTAAAATTACAAATTGTTGAACACCCTGCTCTTACTAGGAACTGTAAATAAGAAAATTTTTAACTAATTGAGGATTTTCCTGGGTGCATGTTTGTAACAATGTATATGCAAAATATCAAAATAAAACTAAGTACTAAAGAGAATATTAGTAAGTAAGATTCCATCCTATTCTTCTGGCTGCTTATATAAGTTTCATATTTCACGTATTCATTTTCTTATATTTCTAACCTCTAGGATTTACCTTTCAGCTGCTTGCAGTGTTTCAGCAACTCCAGGCAAATCAATAATAGAAAAAAAAAAAGCCACATCAGCGATAATTTTCCATTAACTGAGCAGGAGTAGAGATTGTAGGCAATGGTTTAAGGACTATCTGAGATTAAGGTGAGGTACTCTTCTGGCTTTCATAGCAGCTTCAAGAACATCTCAGAACACCGAGTAGCTTATATACAAACTTCAAGAGGGTTTTGTACAGGAGGCCAGAAGCCTGGCCAGCAGTTCACTGTAGCTCTTCTACAGCTTCGCTGGAAACTGGGTAGGAGTGGGTGAGGAGTGGGAAGGCAAGGAAGCATCTCAAAATGTAACTGTCACAAATATGCCTAGACCTCATTTGACTGGATAGGTATATTCAAGGGAAAATAAATCCAAATGTTAAGATCTGAAGAGTAGGAGTGCATTTTTGTCTGCATGTTTCTGAAGAACTGGCCTAATTAATTAGAGTAGCTTTTCAGGTTTTAAGGAAAGAGGATGAATTTATCACAGCTAAGCATGACTCTATATTCTTTAAGTTTTCTCAAAACTTACCTTTGAGAATTAGTTAGAAAGGAAAGAAAGTACATAAAAAGCTTAGTGGAGACAAAATCAGAGGCTACAAAGAGGGATGGCCAAGATGCAGTAATTACACCTTCTTCTCTCCTTGAACTCAGTACACTTCACTGAGTATTGTTAAACATTTAACACCTTAAACTCATTGGCTTACATTTTATTTTTGTGATTGGCATAATTAGGAAAACCAAACTGAGAAATCATGATATTAGAATATTTTAAGGGCATGCCATCATAAATATTAACGAGTTTATTTACACAGTAGGATCTCTGTAACAAATGCTCTGCTCGGTGCCACATTCCAGAATACCCACTGTTAGTGTCTTTTTCTAAATTTCTT